TTCAAAATTTTCTAGAGTTATATAAGCTGTTTTGGCATGAGATTTGAGCCAAATTTTCAATAACTTAATTACCTACAATATTGATGAAGGAAATAAATTCAAATACCTTATAGAATAGATGCAGTTTTCAGTGGTTGTTTCCAACTAGGCTCAACTACAATAACACTCTGAACATGCCTTGGTAATTGGATTATAACTCTTGCTACACATAAGATATTAACATGAAATAAATTTCTAAATTTCGGGGATATAATTTCCTACAACTTTTATGAAGGAATTAAGTCCTAATTTTATATGTATCAATCTCAGTAATTCAAAAACCTAGGCTGTTGAAACAGGGCTACCTCTTAACGTCACAGCTAGAATACTTGATAGTAAAATGGGCATAACTTAAGCTATAAATATCCGTTTAATGTGAAATCAGTTTCTAAATTTCGACAACTTAAATAGCTACAACTTTCACAAAGATACCAATTCCTAATTCTATTCACACAAGTCCCAAAAATTAAATGAATAGTACCTACGAATTAGGACTCTTAAAGTTTTTAGCTTAACCACTTCTAATCCTCAATTTTAAACATTATTCTAGTATCCTAGGTGTAAAACCTACAATAACACTCTTCCTACTCCCATTCAAGCTCATTCAAGTGAGGATAAAAATAGAAAATGCACCGTTTTGAATCAACTTACCTCTTGGAGCTTCTCAAGAAAATCAAGATTTTCCCGTCCAAATCAAGCTTGAAGGTAAGAAAATTGTTGAGAGAAAGAGAGAAACTATGGTTGCAGAATGACACTCTTTCTTTTTAAAGTCAAACATTTCACCTAATAATCTGCTCAGCGCATTTCTGATGCGCCCAGCGGATTATAGGCCGTAAGTAATAAGATTACAAACATAATTTGCGGATTATAGGTTGTAAGTAATAAGATTACAAACATAATCTGCTCAGCGCATTTCTGATGCGCCCAGCGGATTATAGGCCGCAAGTAATAAGATTACAAACATAATTCGCTCAGCGCATTTCTGATGCGCCCAGCGGATTATAGGCCGCAAGTAATAAGATTACAAACATAATCCGCTCAGCGCATTTCTGATGTGCCCAGCGGATTACAGGCCGCATGTAATAAAGATTTCAAACATAATCCGCTCAGCACATTTCTGATGCGCCCAGCAGATTACATTACAAAAAATTTATCTTTATTTTCTCTTTTTTACTCTAACCAGGATTTGAACCCACAACCTCTAAGACTCAAACATCACTCCAAACCATATCAACCATCATAGGTTTCTTGTCAACTTATACACATAATACAGTTTTATTGTGCTCACACTCAATGCATACAAGAAAACAAAAATTTCTAAATGTGACAATTAAAATTGTTAAGTCCATACTCTTTAAATTTCAACCCTAAATCATATAATTACTATCAGGTTCCCAGTTGCCCGCGAAACGGATCAAATTTAAGTATTTTCTAAAAATTCCAGAAAAATTCTAAAAAATCACAAATAATCTAATAACATAAAACTCTACAGTTACTTTACCCAATTCCTAATAATTTAATTATTAAAATTTTGACAAAGATTTTGTCAAAATTTAACAAACCAGGGGTATTGAGAATCAGGATGTTACAAGGATTACCTAACAAGAATATGGTAAATGGTAAAAAATTGTGAATGTTTGATAAACAATTTGAAAAATAGCTTAATAACAAAATAAATGTTGATAAACAACTCTCTAGTTCGACTTTGTCATTTGCTTGTAGATGTTCAACTGATGGAACCCTATGATTGGCATTGAGTTGTCGTAGGAATTGCTTGAATCCTTTATCAATGAGTTGTGTCCCATTGTTAATTATTATGGTCTATGGGAGGTTATGTCAAAATATTATATTTTTCCATGTGAATTTCTACACTTGTTGAGCTATTATCGTTGTCAAAGGCTCAACTTCAATCTATTTCATAAAGTAGTTTATGACAACAATTAGAAACTTGATACCCTTTGACAATAGGGAAAGGTTCGAGTATGTCCATTCCCTAATATATAAAAGGCCATGGTGTTATGATATTGTGTAATTCTTTTTGTGCGCTTGTTGAGAGTGGGTCATATTGTTGTCATGTTACACATTTTTTTTAATAAACAACTTGATGTCTGCTTTTAGGGTAGGCCAATAATAACCTGGTTAGAGTATTCCTGCAACCATTGTCCAAGTTCTGGAGTGTAATCCACGTATATATACTGTTATGGACTTATGTCATGATATATTATGCTTGGTCCTTATTTAAGCATTTAAGAAGTGGGGTTGGGTATCCTCTCTTCACCATTATGTATCACATATTAGGCAAACATCCTTCGTGTTTTCTATGTTCTTTTCTTGTCCTCGACAAGAATGTCGAGTGTAAGGTATTGTATGATCGATGTCATCCATGTTGGTTGAGTTATATCAACTTGAAGATTGCCCTTGTGGTTCCAACTCGAGGTGGATAGTGTTTCTTGTATAAGTGTTTGGTATTGTCTGGACTTCTTAATACTAGCTAAATTGGATAATATGTTCGCTTATTCATTTTATTCACTACGTACATGACTATTTTTGCTTTTTCAAAGTCATTTAGTAGTTCTTGACCTATGTGGTAGTATTTTTGTATGGCTAGTTTTTAGTTTGGAAATCTTCCTGAATTTATCTGGTGACTAGCTTTGAATCACCTTAGCAAGCTTTAATTAAGCGATCTTCATACTCAACTTGGATGTTGGAAGTGGGGAACTCAAATCAGAGAGTTTGTTCCAAGATGATTGTTGTAAATGATTGTTTGGAAAGAGTCATGTTTCATGTTGCATGCTTCTCGTAGAATGGTTTCTCAAGAGACATTCAATGGTGTGCAACTATCGTACTTGACCCTCTTCACATGCTTGGTAGAATGGTTCTTATCATCCACTTGGTCGAGTTCTTCTTCTCTTTTTTTTTCAGAGTTTAGTATTTTCTTCCATTTGTATGCAATTTGATACTCATAGTACCACTAGAGCACAATTCCTTACACTTTAACATACATGAGGTATGCTCAAATATGTTCTTGGATCCTAGTATAGGAATCGATGGGAGGTGTTCGTCAATTTTGGGGAAGAGGGTCATCAAGTATTTCGACTATGAATGGGTGTTAATACTTGGTACGTGTTTGCATAGTCGCTCGATTAACATGACATACTCAAATTCATTTTCAGCTTTGAGTCTTTATGTTCTTTCTTAGTATCAATTTTTTGCTACTTAAAATGAGATTGGGACTTCACACTTGCTGCTTTGTTCTCATTTTGGGTGATTTCTTTTTATTTCCCTGCTTTTAGCGATCTCTTTAAGTTGATCTCATAGGACTTTGAACTCATCTTATTATAGTTTTTGGTCTTATTTAACTTTCTTTTAGAATGTTACGAGGGTGATTCTCATTTTCACATTTTGTTTATTATTGTAATTCTACTATATGTGCCTTATGAATCAAGGTTGTTGATTCTATTATTGTAAGAAGATTAGTTTAAACTCCAAGTAGTAATATAAAAGAAGTTTTATTTTGTATTCGTTCTTACTTAGATTTAGAGGATGACCATTTTCTCTCTATATAATATAATTTCTAATTAAAAATAATAATAAAAATATATTTTATTTTGTCTCTCTTGGTATTAAGTTGAAATGAATAAAAATATATTTTTTTATTATTGGAAAAGTTAATTTTTAATTTTTTATAACTTTTTAAAGATTTATATATAATCTTTATATTTTTAAGTGGAAACTTAATTATTTAATTTTAAAAACATATAGTTTTAATTATTATTTATACTTAAAATTAATATTTATTAATAATTTGTATCGTGAAATGACAAAATTAACATAATATATAATTATAATCATTTTTTATATCTAAATATAATATTTAATAATGACTTCTATTGTTATAAATTTAATAAAATAATTATATTTATATATATTAAATTTAAAAGTTATTATTTATTTTTTTAAAATTTATGAACCAAAAATTTAATAAAAAATATAAAGATGATTTAAACTTTTTAATATTTTTCATGCATATATACACTAAATCTCTAATAAAAAATATTTATTGAACATGAATTTTCCTCTTGAGATAAATAAAGGAGGAATATCATCACTTATCTCCGTTCAAGATAAAAATACTTCATAAAAATAATTACACTATGAAAGAATCATTCTAGATTGATGTATTAAAATTATGTTCAACTGTAAATAAACATTATATTTACAGATAATTTGAATATGAAGATGAAGTGACTATACAAGCTTGTGCCCACCCAAGAATCCAAATAAGAGTGAAAACATAACCTAACTAGAATTAATTAAACTATTCCAATGCCCAGACAAACGTTTATTACAAGAAAAAACTATTTTCTTTAATCTCTAAAATCTTAAGAACATCCTACTCTTTATCTTCATCTCTCTTCTATTAATCTTCTTCTAAGACTATTTTGAAGTAAATTTTTTTACCATAATCATATTAGTTTTGAGTGTGATGAGTATATCCATTTCAATTGGGCTATTAATCCGAGGGAAAGGAAAATTAAAAGATCCAAATATAAAGATTAAAACACTCAAACATTTATAATTATGCTAATTTCACACAGGAGCAATGTAATCCATGTATATAATTCAGCATAAACTTCTTACATTATCTGCTATATGTCCAAACTAGAAGGGACACACTTACTTTCAATGGTAAAATTACACACACAAATATTTTACACACATACAACAACGATTGTTCTTGCATATACAAAGCATACCAATAAATAGTAAATAATAGACACATTCAAAGCATATGGGAAGGTGAACTATTTTACCCAAGTGGTTTGAAAATAGCAAATATATAGAACTTGGAAATTCAAACTGTGAAATCTCAACGTGAACTATTTCCCCTTGTTCCAGCTTTGCATTCCGAAATAATCAGTGTTTGGGTTTCAGATACAGAAACTAGCTTGTAATAAACCTCATTCCCATTTGCACTTAATTTGATGTGGATGTCTGAAATCATATGTCAGCACCACACTTCCATCCATTCTCCTAAAGACAAAACTCTCTACCAGCATATAGCAACCAAATTTTTCCCACTTGTTTATTCCTCTAAACTCCTCTACTCTCATCACACTCTCTTGCCTTCCATTACTTGCTTTCCATCCAACTCTTTCTTGCTCCCATTGCATTCTCTCAATCACTTCCAAACACAACCCAACACATATCTCTTTACCAGCATCTTCAAAGCTCTTGAACCACAACACCCTATCAGCCACACCATTTTCATCCCATACAGCATCCCTTCCTGCAACCTTCACAACTTCTGTTTGTATAACAACATCTACAAGCACTGTATCTTCTCCACTGATTCCATTTTCCTTGGAAAATATCTTTTCCCATCTTTGCAGAAGTGTGACCTCATAGAACATGGACATTTTCATCTGCTCCTTTAATCCCATTCTTTCTTTCAAAAACATAAAAGGGCAGTACCACTTTCCAACTACCACTGATATAGAACTATCATTAGACAATGGAAAGTTGAAATCTGGAAGCTTGGAACGTAAAGAGTCACTGGAGCCTGCAGCTTCATCCAAATGGTAATTGCGGGGAGTGTTAGCCTCAACATTCCAACCTTTTCTCCTCAAGTAGTCTTGTGGAACTCCATCTGTGGCAACAGACTTTGCTTGAAAACCATGCCTCTTCTTGATCACTTCAACCTGCTGATAATCATCAGAAGGAACCAAGGGTCTTGGTTTAACATCGTGGACAAAGCTGCAGCATAAACAAGTAGTCTTGTCCTCTTCCCTTGAACTTGTACTCGCTTGGCTGCAACCAATTCAGGTAAAGATTAAAGTTGCCTTTGATTTCTATTTTCAAAAACTAATTTCAGTTTCCAGGATACCACTAGACAATATTGCCCAAAAAAGAGCTCGAGGAAGATGGAAACAGAAAACAACCAAATTAACCGTCTCAGCTGTTATTGCTTTGTAGTTTTAAAACAATTATTTTTGGGTAACAATTTTCAAAAGTCAAAACTATGTTTACATAGTCATCCCAAACCCAGATTAAGAAAGAGGGTTGTGTTAGATCTTTGGTAGCTAGCATAAAACTTGCCGATAAAAATGGAAAGCTCTCTTTTAGGAAAGATAAAAAAAAACAACAACTGTTTCTTCAAACAAACAAAAATTGTATCAAGACCACTCTCACATGAATGTTTGAGCAACCAATATAAAAAAAAAAACTACTATTTCTTACTTCATAAGAAAATATATGAGAATATAATACTTCAAAAAGCAGAAAAGGATGTCAAAATCATCCTAGACTCAAAGAAGATACAGGATTAAAGTTAACATCTAGATGCATAAATTCAGACGCAGTTTTCAATTTAATTCTTTCAGATGGTCTAGAAAAAAATAGACATACAAAAAAGTAACTCACATACCCTTGATGTTTCCCCTGCCTTCTTATGGCATAGTAGCGGTTTGAAGACAATGGCTGATTCAATGCTGGGATAAACAAGACCTTGTCCCTGGATTGGTGTTGTTGTTGACCTGATTGTACAACATATGTGACGGTCAAGTCCTTGTCCTGAGGGAAAGGAAGATGCTTGATTCTTCGGTCCTCACACAAACCAAAACAAGTGTAAGCAGGAGGTAAATCCCAGATTACAAGATAACCTGAATTTGGTCCTAATGGAGGTTCTGAAAGAGCACCAGGGTTTCTCTTGTACAAAGAAACTGGTCTTGTCACATACATTTTCTTTTATCTCTGATCTTTCTGTTGTGATTCTTTAGCAACCGCCTTTACTCATGAATATATATATATATATATATCAGATTTTTCAAAACCATCTATTTTATGTTTAAATTATCAAGTACTTAACCCTTGTCCGGTGTCTGAACGTGTAATGATTTTTTTTTTCTTATTTATAAAAAGAGTTAGCCTTATTTGACTTGGATTTGAATTTTAGATTTTAAAAATACTTTTAATTATTAAAATTAAAAGTTTATTTTTGAGAATAAATTAAAAAAACCTGCATTAATAAATTAAAAAAAATTGAGAATAAATTTTTAAAAAGTTTATTAATAAAGATAAACAGATAAAAAATAATTTATTATTTCTATTTTTCAATTTTAAAAATTATTTTAATTTAATAAAACATTGATAAAATATATTTTAATTTTTAAATCTAGAAAACTCAATTATTTTTAAAAACCCTGGACAAAGAACTCTTTCAACGTCCTAAGGTCATTTATATTAATTACAGTTCTGATAATAAAAATGAGAAGAAAGTACCTTTCAATGTGCTGGATGGAATCTCCAATTTCTTGGAAATTTCCTAGGAAAGCCACGCACGTTGACTTCTCTGATCCTTTCCATCTCAATTTTCTGATCCTTTCAAACTTTCCACACAACTTAAATAATTATTCGATCAACAAAAGGATATACATGTTTTTAAAATTGTATGAATTCTATAATTAAAATATGTAAATAATATATTAATTGTAATTGATTCATCATCAATTACAAAATAACCAAAATTATATACTTAGTAGAATATCTTGGAATGATTTATCATTTATTTAATTAATTTTTAAAGTATATGAACAGAAAATTTAATGAAAAATATATTTAATTTTTAAAACATTTTTCATGCATATATATTTTAAATTTCTAATTCAAAAATTTCTTGCACATAAAAATATAAGAATTATTAAATATATAAATAAAATAGATAATAATTAAATATATTAAAATTATTATTATTATTAATTATAATAAATATAATTATTATTATTATAATATAATAATGGAATGTTGGACTTCTTTTAAAATCTAAAAAAATAAAAATGAAAATCATTAATTATGATTTTTTATGTTTTATATCTTATTTAAATGCATAATTATTTTTTAAAATTATTCATATCAATAAATTTTTTAAAAAGACATCATTACAATAAAAAAAGCATAAAATACTTTAAAAAATCACATTGTTTTTAAAAAAAATTAGAATGATAATACTCTATTAATAAAAAATTTGAGTATGAGGACGTAATATTGGCTAAACAGTGTATCCACTAACAATCCAATTAAGAATGAAAGTATAACTTAATTAGAATTAATTAATCTATTCCAACATTAAAACATTTTTTTATTATAATCTAATATTAAGAAGATGCAGCTCTTTACTTTCATCTCCAATTCTACTTAAACTAATTTTTTCTTACCCGATATCATATCACTTAGTTTTTTTAGTGTGCTGAGTGTATTCATTTCCATTGTGATAATTAATAAGGGAAAGTAAAATAGAAAGATTGTAATCCAAATATAAAGATTATAACATTCAAACATTCATAATTAAGCTAATTTCATACAGGAGCAATGTAATCTATACACATAATTCTGAATAAACTTCTTATATTCTGCTATATGTCCAAACTAAAAGGGCACACTTGCTTCACTAGTATTACAAACACAAATATGTATACAACAACCATTGTTCTTGCATATACAGAGCATACAAACAAAACATGCGGGAAGTTTTTTGTCATTGAGGTTTGAAAATAGCAAATGGAACTTGGAAATTCCAACTGTTAAATCTCTATATTAAATATCTCTCCCTTTTCCAGCTTTGCATTCCAAAACAACCAGTATTTTGGGTTTCATATAGAAAGCAGATTGTAATAAACCTCATTCCCATTTGCACATAATTTGATGTGGATGCCTGAAATCATAGGTCAGCACCACACTTCCATCCATTCTCCCAAAAACAAAACTCTCTACCAGCATATAGCAACCAAATTTTTCCCACTTGTTTATTCCTCTAATCTCCTCTACTCTCATCACACTCTCTTGCCTTCCATTACTTGCTTTCCACCCAATTCTTTTTTGCTCCCATTTCATTCTCTCAACCAATTCCAAACTCAGTCCAACACTCATCTCTCTTCCAACTTCATCAACACTATTAAACCACAGCACCTTGTCAACCACACCACTTTCATCCCAAACAGCATCCCTTCCTGCGACCTTCACAACTTCTGTTCGTATAACAACGTCAACAAGCACGGTATCTTCATTGTTTGCAATGTCCTTTGAAAATATTTTCTCCCATCTTTGCTCAAGTGTGACCACATAGAACATGGACATTTCCATCTGCTCCTTTAATCTCATTCTTTCCTTCAAAAACATAAAAGGGCAGTACCACTTTCCTACTACCACTGATTTAGAACTATCATTAGACAATGGAAAGTTGAAATCTGGAAGCTTGGAACGTAAAGAGTCATTGGAGCCTAAAGCTTCATCCAAATGGTAATTGCGGGGAGTGCTAGCCTCAACACTCCAACCTTTACTCCTCAAGAAGTCAGGAGGAATTCCATCTGGGGCAACAGACTTTGCATGAAAACCATTACGCTTCTTGGTTATTTCAACCTTCTGATAATCATCAGAGGGAACCAAAGGTCTTGGTTTAACATCTGTGACAAAGCTGAAGCAGAGACAAGTGGCCTTTTCTTCTTTCTTTGAAGAAGTGCTTGCTTCGCTGAAATCAATTCAGGTAGAGATTAAATATAAAGACATAATGCTTTTGTTTTTCTAAATCTCCTTAAAACAAGTGATTAGTTTCGAATAGCAATATTTTGGTTCAAACACACTCAAATGAATGTTTCAGAAACAAATTAAGATTACATCGCTAGTAGATTCATATCTGCATAATACTTCCAAAAGCTGAAAGAATTAATGTCAAAATCACATTAAACACAAATTGGATAAAAATATATAATGATGAAGTTGACAACTAGATACTACGATTCAGAGATGAAGTTATATAAAAACTTGATCCATATACCCTTGATGAATCCCGTCCCTTCTTATGGCGTAGTAGTGGTTTGAAGACAGTGGTTGATTCAATACTGGGATGAACAAGACCTTGTCCCAATATGAGATGGTTTGGTTGGGAGGTTGATTTTGTTGAGCTGAATGGCTTGTGTATGTGTCTGTGATGGTCAAGTTCTTGTCCTGAGGAAAAGGAAGATTCTTGATTTCTGGGTCCTCACATAATCCGAAACAAGTGTAAGCAGGAGGTTCATCCCAAATTACAAGATAACCTGAATTTGGTCCTAATGGAGGATCTGAAAGAGCCTCAGGGTTCCTCTTGTAGAAAGAAACTGGTCTTGTCACATACATTTTTCTCTCTCTGATCTTTCTGATTTATTTCCTTAGAATTCAATCTTTGCTTCTTATGAATATATATGCTAAATTTTGAATTGCTAAGTTTTATCAGGAAAAGTGAAATGATAATGTTTATCTGTTGCAAGCTAAAATATATTTTGTTTGGTTTTTGGATTTGGATTACACTGGAATTGGTGACTTTATCATATTTTATGTTGCAAAGATGACACATTGCAAGCTGAAATACTGAGCTGCCATGTTATTTGCTAAGAAACACGTAATCTAACATGGATGTCGAACACACTGATTCTGATACAATTTATGTTTAAAATATAACATACAAAAATATTATGTACTTCATCCAAAATATAAAATTTATGGATGAGTTTATTTTCCCTTATTTTATAAAATAAGTATTCTTTTAGTTAAATTAAAAAAATGTATTTTTTTTATAAATTTCTCAAGTTTATTTAATTTAAAAATAAGAAGTTCTTTTACTTATTCACTAATAAGCAAATTTTATCTGCTTTTTAAATAAGTGATTATTTAAAAAAATATTTCATAAATACTTATTTTAGGTTTAAATAAATTGGTTTTATTTTTAATTATTTGTAAATTTATTATCTAATTAATAATATTAAATTTATCTGTAATATAAATATTAAAAAATAAATAAATTTAATATATATATATATATATAGAGAGAGAGAGAGAGAGAGAAATATAAGAACGAATGAATATTAATAATCCTATAAAAAGAGAAAATATTTGTTTATAATTAAGAACGAATGAATATTAATAAAATAAAAATAAATAAAAAATTAAATAATTTTTAATTAAACAATTAATATGTCCTTGGCTTTTATGCCATTTTTTTGGTATATATTTGGGAATTTTTGGCTGTGGATAGAGTTGAGTAGGACTGCAAGTGGCTAAGATCCATCCAGTGCTCTAACGGTGTGTGCCTATCATTGGTAATGGATAAACTTTAAGGATTATTTTTATTATTCAACATCAATAAATAAAATAAAATAAAGAAACTTTTGAGAGAAAGATTATTCGAGTGTAAATATAAATATGAAATTTAGTAAAAATAAACATGTAAAATAATATATAGATAAGAAATATAGAAGTAAGAAGAATGTATAAATCTATTGTCTTAAATTATTTTTATTATTATTTGTGAAATTAATTCGTTACTCACGAATAAGATTTATTTTTGGTTGTTATTTATCTGGTAATCGCGTGAAACTGTCACCAATTGAAATCTCTTATGAGTCATATGATAAAAGAATATTTTTAGTTTTCTAGAATCTGATATTATAATTTTTTTTTATGTCTGGTTTATCTTATAAGAAATAAGGTTAAAGGAATATAGGTTTTCTTAAAAATATTTTAGTCAACTTTTCCATCAAAACATTCTAATAAGAAAAGGTGAGAAACTAATTTTTTTAATATAAAATTAAAAATTTTACTTAAAAAATCATGTTATTTCATTAAATCGTTTAATATGATAATAAATTAAAATTTTGGGTACGAATAATACGTTATTCTTTATATTTAATAAAATTCGATAATTATTCCTATTTTCGCACGCCAAACAATACGTTATTTTTATTAAATAATTTAATTTCATAATAAATTAAAAATTTTAATATATATATATATAATATATTAATTTTTATTTTAAAAAAATTTCTATAAATATTTCAAGCAATATTTTCAGCAACCAAACGATATTTATTTATTTATTTAAAAGAATCATAATTATCAGCATTCATTGCTGATAGAAATCAAATTTTTCCGTTTACCAAATAACTAAAATTACTTCCTAGAAGAATTATATATATAGCACATGATTCAATGCATAAACCAAAATAAGGAATCATGGGTCTCTTGGTGTAAAAAGGAAATGAAGAAAGATTATGGTTTTATCCTTATAATCCGTAAGCAATATCAGAATGATTACACTGAAATTAGAATGCAAGAAACAAAATCTCCAAAAAAAGATGAAAGTAAAGTACAAGATCGGTCATTCTTTTCTTTCACAGAGACTAGGGGGATATACACTTGTACACAGATTTGGATGAGTTTGGCATGGTCATAAACCAGTACCAAGTCTTCATTCCCATTTACTCCGAAGTTCATTATGGTGTTTGAAAGCATAGGTTAGAACTACGCTTTCATCCAATGCTTTTAGAACAAAAGTCTCCACCAACACATAGCATGCAAATTTTTTCCACCCATTTGTCCCTTTAAATTCTTCCACTTTCTTGACTCTAATTGCCTTCTCTTTTCCTCCATCCCACCCTACCCTTTCCTGCTCCCAGTTCATTCTCTCAACAACTGCAGTGCTCAATCCCACAGAACTCTTTTCTCCAACATTGTTGAAACTATTAAACCACAGAAACCCTTCAGCAATATCCATTTCATTGATCATAGCTTCCCAGCCAGCTATTACAACCACTTCCTTTTTAACCACAGCATCCACATTCACAGTGTTTCCCATTCCATCATCATTCTCGTTCTCACATGAAAAAATTTGCTCCCATTTCTGCTCTAGTGTCATCTCATAAAACATTGACTTTCTCATTTCTTCCTTCAATGTTTTGTGAGTTCCTTCCTTGATAAACATAAAGGGGCAATACCATTTTCCCACAACAACACTGTCTGAACTCATTTTTTCCAAGGAGAATTTGAATTCTGGCTTCCTGGCACGGAGGGCCTCATTCACACCTGATGCTTCTTCGTCTAGTCTTGAATCACTTGAGGTTGAAGCACTCACTTTCCACCTTCTACTCAAAAACCTTGGAGGGTATCCATTTGGGGCGACAGATTTAGCTGAAAAACCACTCCTGAAAGTAACTTTGCTTCTTCTAGGATATATCTCAAACTCTTGATGTATGTCACTGATATCTATCCGATGTAGTTGTGCATCAGAGAGAGCATTGTAGAAACAGAATGTGTCCAAATCCTCCTCCCTTGAGTTAATGTATGCTTCCCTGAAAAGTCAAATGCAAATTACATCAGCATAATTCTTAACCTTAAACTTGCCAAGAAGATGAATCCTTAACTTTGCATTTGAATCACCCTCTCATCCCGTAAAGGTAAGCAAGTGAAGAATGAAATAAAGAAAATATAACTTGCTTAATGAAATGAAGGCTTACCCTCTGTTTTTCACATTCAGATTTATCACATAGTATTTGTTGGAAGACAATGGCTGGTTCAGAACTGGAATGAAGGCAACATGGTGGTAATGAGTAGTTCTATTCAGTGAAATTCCTGATCTGTAGAACAACTTAAGGTCTAAATTTTGAGGGAAAGGCAACTCCTTCACCTCATGGAATTCTCCCAACCCAAAACAAGAGCTTGGCTCCAGATCATCATCTTGGATCACCAAAATGCCAGAATTGGGGCCCTGAGGTGGAGGCAATGAGAGAGCATCCACAGACTTCTTATACAGAGACAAAGGCCTAGTCACATACATTCTCTGATCCTAATCTTGCTTCTCTTCTCAATTCTTCACTCACCAATATTCCTGTTCTGATTCTGAGAATAAATTGTTGAATGTGGATATCGGAGGCTGTACACATCACTTATATATATACATGTGTGATGAAGTTTCATGTTGACATGGTCAATGACCAAAGTTACTGAACGTGTGTAAAATGATCCAATTGACCAAGACTAGTGAACAAAAGTTTTTTTTTTTTTTTTTTTTTTTTGAAGTTTTTTGTGGCTAGCCAGTACAGTAATAATGTAGGCAGGAATTTTCAACTTGTGGTCCCCAGATGACAATTAAATAACCCTGCTGGCCAGTGGGTTTGAAAGGGTCCACTTTGGACAGTCTTGTTGGCTTTGGCTTTGTCTATTTGGACAGTTTCAATCTAAAAGGACACAAAGGGGAGATTTGGGGATCAGAGTAGACTGCTGAGATGTAAAGTTTGAAGAGATTGGACCCAGCATTTAAAGCAAAAAGAGATTGTTAATGTTAGGTATGTTGTGCTGCTGGATTTAGTTGATTATTCAATTCATGACATGGTTTTCTTTCAATTCCCAGTCAACTTTTTTTATGATTAATAAATTAGGTCTGGTGTGTTCTGCTTAGAACTGTGGTTGATAGTATACAGACAAGGACTTTGGGTTGGTTTAGCGTTCGTTTTAAAATTCTCTTGCTTGTGAAACCAGTTACTTTTTTAATAATATAAAAAAATAAATACTGAACCCAATAATACATCCCTCCTATTATTATTTATTTAACTAACACAAATTATTTTTTAAAATTACTTATAATAAAATTGAAGATGTTGGAAGATAAAGAAACATAATTGAAAGACGACAAATAAAACATGAAAGATTTATTTGAGAACTGTGAAAGCATTTTGTCGTTTGGGTGGATTATTATGTAGTATTATTCACCACAAATTTTATTGGGAAAACATGGATATTAAAAATGAAAATTTTGCCAACATTGTTTTTGTTATGTTGAGATAATACTTGGAACGAAGCTTGTGACATAAGACCTGTAATGTATGAAATGAGGATAATAGTTTATGATATATTTAAACCAAGTAACTTACATGGAAATGAATATTTCGTCAAAATAAAAAAATTGGGTATTACCTTCACAAGATGTGTTCCTCACAATAGTTGTATTTGTGCAAAAAGATTAGTTAAGTTTAAAGTTGCAAGTAGGATATGGAGGAGTCAAAACAGAATCCCCACATCTCAGTTTCGTGGCCCTTTCTTTCAATAATTCAGATGAGTTACGTTTAAAGATAAGCTGTTGCCACAGTAATGGGTCTCAATTGTGACGGGTTAAATAAATGCATTGGAGATCCATATCATACTGCAGCTGGTATGTGATAGCAACAGGTCAAGTGTCAAATTTGGCAACCACTTCTGTTATAGAGATGGCAATCATATGTCTATTACCTTACCCTACCGCATACTTTTCTACGTTGGAAAATTTGTGACCCGGCTTGGTTTTTGGCTCATTATTTTACTAGGATTAAGGACTATCATTGTTGGGAGGCAGTTTCCTTTGCTTCTTCCCTAACGTTTGATGGAATAAGAAACATTTGGCAAGGAACTTTCCAAGAAGTATGAAGTTTCCTCATTTACTGAAAAAACATTAGTACACATGAAACATAATGGCTAATGACCAAACTACAGACAATTTAAACCACGGACTAAGACTACCCTAATGAAGCTACCCAGGAAGATGTTTTTTTTTTCTTTCTTTTTGCATATGTATTTGATGATGGTAGTATTACTATATCAGGCTTTGAACATGAAATCTTCGTCTCTTTTCCTTGAGCTTCCCCAATTTGAATGGTATCTGAAAATCCACCTCCAACCCTTCATGCTTTTCCTTCCCCTTTTGATTCCTCTGTCGTTCACTGTGATTCTACATGACCCTCCATTGGTTAAAACTCCATCCCCTACCAAACCCCCATAAGAACCTCCCCCATCATGTGCCATGAAATTGCCACCTCTAAAAGAAGAGAAAGGGTCACCAAGGTTGCTCATCTTTGCAGCAGAAAACTCATGCTTAGATTCTGATGAGTAATCAAGCTTCAAGTCAATAAAGCTAGACTCATCCATGCCTTTGAAATCACTCTCCCTGAGTGAAAACACACGCCTATTTGTCCCATAGAACCCCCCATCGCCATCCATTAGGCCGCTACCCTTCTTTCCACCACCCTTGAGATTAAGATCATTGCCACTTTCATAATCAAACACGAAATCCCTCCTCTCCCCATCAAAACCACTCCTTCTTGGCTCAGCTTCACTGTATCCACTTCTTCTCCCAGATTCCAACATCAAACCCCCATTAACCCCAGAACTCCTAGCTGCCGAAATTGAGCTTCTGGCACCTGACAACACTGAATCCCCACCGTCCTCAGATCCAAATAGCCCTCCCCCTCTGAAGCTGCATAGTGACCTGGACCTAGACACACCCCCTTGATCCAGCATCCACATCTCATTCCTCTCATCAAACCCAACAACACTTCTCCCACAATCCTTCTCCTTTTTCTTCCTAAACAACTTCCCAATTCTCCAAAACCCACCATGCCTCTTGATCTCAACACAGCTGCTGCTGCTCCTCCTCAGCACCACAACCTCCTCCTCCTTATCTTTGGCCTTATTTGGATTCAAATGCTGAAGAACTGGGGCCTCATTCTTCTCATTCTCAATGAGAAATGATACCCTTCCAACGCTTCCCACCTCAACAGTGCATGAGTTGCGGTGTGAGGAGATCATCTCATCAGAGCAGGAACAAGAAGAAAGCCTTTGCTCTCCACAGTCAGAACACACAAGCTTGACCAAACGGTCTTTGAGACAATAAGCACATATACCAACAGAAGAAGAAGAAGGGTGTTTCTTACATGGGAGTTCAGAGGTGGAGTAGTAGTAGCAATCCATGTCATTGGTGTAAGTTTCCACACCTTTGTTCCTCTCCTTCATGGCTTAGATGGAGCCTCAAAAGTAAAGTGAAAATGGCAAGGGGCTACGCTCTATGAAAGAAAGAGGAAAAAAAAAAGAAAAGGGACCAAATACTTGGCTTGTAGAAGCAGCTTCCTCTTTGAAGCTATGAGTAAAAAGTAGAGAATTTTGAATGTGAATGAATAAAGGGTGATGTTTAGAGTGAGAGAGAGGCAGCACAGAGGCGTTTCCTTTACGTTTTCTTGGCAGGAAAAACAGTGATAGGAAGGAAGAGAAAAAGGGTGATGCAAGAAAAGAAAAGAAATAAAAAAGCACTAGCTCCTGCAGGCATTATTATGTAGGGAAGAGACTGAAACAGCAAAATTGAGTGAACAAGTGAACAAACTCCTCTCATCACTTGCATGCATTGCATATGTTGATAAATATGTGTGTATATATGTCTTTGAGTTTGCACATCAAACACTATATCTCCATTCCCCACCGTACCACTTTGAAGTGCCACTTCAAAGACCCTCTCTCTCTCACTCACTCGCTCCCTCCCTCCCTCCCTCCCTCCCTGACCAGATTCAAAAAAAGTGCACTCGAATCATCTGGTCTTGAATACCCATCAATCTTTCATATGAACTGTCAACAACATTTTACCAAGGAGTTCCCCTCTTCCCTTGACTTTTGCATGCCATTGGCAAACAGGTTTGACAATAAATCCTACCCCCAATACCCACTGTGCATGTGTCCCCTTGGATTAGTGGGTTCAGAAAGCAACCCTTCATAGTAACATGAGTGTGGCACGCATATTCATTTGTCCACTCTCTTTTTTGCTCCCCTACCATCATTCCTTCTATTCTATTCATTTCTACCCAAACCATAGTCTCTCACAAATCTGTCCTTTCCTCGTGGATCATAACCACGTGTCCCACCGACACATCTACCTTCTGGTCTCTCCCACTCCCACTCCCAATCACATTCACAGCTACTATATCACCCCCTCTCATTATTTTCCTTCATCAAATTGATTTACAACATTATAACACATAAATTTATCATCCATAACAATATGTGATTAAATGTTAACGTAAAAGCTAATTATATAATTTAATCACGTGTAATGTAACCAGTTATCAATTTGGCCATTGCTATCCTCTTGCATGCATACTTTCAACTTGCTTCTTAATACCCATAACTCGTTTTTTTTTGTTTATTCCATGGACCAAATTAAGAATGCATGAAGTGTACAAACCAAGTTTAAAATGCATTAAAAATAAAGCAACCAAATTAAAAAAATTTATTGCACAAATAGCAATAAAATTAAGAATGCATGACAAAATAATGTTAGTAGAAAAAAAATTATTAATATCTTAACCACATAAAAACTAATTTAATTTATTTTTACTAGCAAATACTAAATTATTGAAAATTCGCAATACAATCTGTTTTTGAATCATGAGGTGGTTGAGAATGAATGGTGACCAATTTCTAGCATGACTTCAATGGAGGAAAGAGATATGAGAGAGCTTTGGCGTGCCGTATTCATCCAATTCTCTATGTTGTCTTTTCATGGAAGGACTGTTTCATTTCAATGAGGGAAGTCTCATGCTGGCAAGTTACCCTTTGGCATCACCATCACCATCCCCAGAGTCTTCCATGTGGGAAGAACAATAAACTGCAAAAGGTTATGCAGTTTTTTCATTTAATTGTGTCATTTACTTTTTCACTTATTACCATTATTATTACATCACAATAATTTTTCTCTTGCCAGGAAGATCTATTTCTATGGCCCATTGGAACTTCAAGTATGAAATATCAATTCCATAAAGAGTTGGATGGACATAAATCACTTTAATCACTAAATTTATTGCTTCAAAAAGTACTTGTTTGACAATAACTGATCTTATTTTATTTCTATGTTTACTTGCAAATACCCAACATATATGGTAAGAGTTGAAAATTCGAAAAATTAATGTTTAAATGGTAACTAAAGAAATTATAATACTTTACAAATATTTTTGAAGTATAACAATCTCTCTCTCTCTCTCTCTCTCTCTCTCTCTCTCTCTCTCTATATATATATATATATATATATATATATATATATATATATATATATATATATATATATGGGGACGCATCTTTCTCCCTTTTCTGGTTGTCCTTAACAAGTAGAACAACATAAAAGTAGTTTTGTTCAGGTAAAACATGTTGTACATCTTTTTTATGTTTTTTCACAAGTACTCAGACTGTAATGTTTCTTTTCCATTCCTAGTGTTCCCACTCTAACGTTTGATGCTTACCCAAGCTTCAAAAGTCATTATCATTACAAAAATATTATCAAAATTACTTAGTCGTTTTATTTAATTAAAGTGTCGAACACAAAAAAAAAAAAAAAAACTAAAACTACTCCAACCCATTTACATTTGAAATTTTAAATAATTAAACAATTAAACAATTTTTCAATTAAATCATCGGCCATGTGAAAAAAAAAGTTGGCTTTTTATAATTTTAGAATGGTCATAAATTATATCTTTAGTCATTTTAAGTCACCATAAATTAATTCAGTTTAAAAATAAAATAAAAATCTATTTAAAAGTTAAAAAAAAAAAAAAACTAAATTATACCTTGATTCAAATCTCTTTAAGAGTGTCTTTTTGTGTAGACAAAGCCAACGGGCAACACGAAAAAAAGCAGTTTCCACTCTCTTGCCTCCAATGTTGTCCCTCCAAAACAGGCACTGTTAACATCCTTCTTCTTTCTTCACTTTTTCTTTTTATTTTTTGACCCATATTTTTGTTTGAACAAATAGACTATATATCTTATTTGAGTTAACAACATTCACTATGTAACTAAATAATTGCAATATTTTAACTCAAAATACTATTTAACAAAAATTAAGTTATCAAAATCTGTCTTAATTCCAGCCTTTTTGTCCTTTTATCAAAATGGTTGAGATTAAGTTAAATCCTAGTGGGTCAGAATCATAAAAAAATCTGTCTTTTATGTATATTGAATGGCTTAATATTCATATCTGTCTTTTTTATACTCTGATTTAAAAAAGTTTAATTTTAAACACAAAAAGAAAAAGAAAAAAGTTTAATTACGAAGGACAAATTCTGTATAACCAATCAGTATGGTCGAGCTTTAATTGAAGCTAATGGTTTGATCCATTAATCTCAAATTCAAATATGTCAAGACTTGACTATGAAATCAAGATTAGGGATTGATCGGTTTTTAACTGAGAATGAAATTTTCCGCATAACAATTATTTTATGTTTAAGTCATATAATATAATATTTTATAGAAAGATCATAAAGAGAGCAGACAAAATATTACCATGTGAAATGCAAATTTGATTTTATTTTGAAAATCTATTATGAATAAAAAAAAATGTTTTTTAGTGGAATTTTGAAGAGTGGAGACATAGTACAATGAAACATTGCAAATGGTGACAAGCTAAGTTATAAGGACCAATAGAAACAGAAGCATGACGTTGAGGCAGACATAATTGGAATGGTGGCACGCCCCCTAGCATGCACAATCCTATTGAATCATTGGGACAAAGAGGCAGAATAGTATATTGCTTAAGCAATGCTGCATTGTCTCACCCTTTTTCCTTTCTTTCTCTAATTTCTTTTTTCCCTTTTGTTCTCTATAGTAAATCTCTCGAGTTTGTCGTAATTTATAAATATTAGGGTAATCATGATGTTTCCTTGGTCTTTGTTCTCTAATTATTTTGTTGGGTTTGCAATCAATTAAGTATAAATGATTTGGGATCCTGGTAATAAAAAACACTTGCATTGAGCCATCCAAAAAAATGATTAAATGAGAAATGATTAAATGCAATTAACCTAAAAGTTATGGGCATGTTGGCTGTCTGACATGCACCTCTAATGGACCCATGTTAGTCCTATTACTGTCACCAATGCCCTAATGCTTTATAGCTGTTCAATTGTTTTTAGTAATCTACTAATTAACTTTAGTACACAGACAATACCAACCAAGAAAAATACAGGAAATTTAGGGTTTTTCTTTCTTTCTTTTTATGTGAATAGGTGAATGCAAGATACTTTTGCTGAGAGGTATACAAAATATTTGTTTCAAGCTTTTAATAACTTACTATTAAAAGTTAATTTACTTCATAAGTTTATAAACTATTAGGCATCTTGAAAATGTATTTTTGAACTTTGATTAGGATCTTCTATCCAACTACTCTTATGAAAAAATAATTACAGGAACTTATGGGATGGATGTTTACACTGAATATTCTCAACCAACCAAGTTTTTAACACTGGTGTAAACTTGTACCACTTTAACAAATAATTAGTCTGTAGAAATATCTAAATGATGTAATATTCAATTTTGCTAAGTTAGAAATCTTTAATTCTAATGATTTTAACAAATTACAATTCTAATAATTTGTATGTGTGATGAGTTTAGAATTTCCTCGGTGCTTCTGATTATAGATTTTTTAGTCGGTTTCATTCATTTTTGGTTTGATATCTTATGTTTTTTTCATTTTTTAATGAATATATTTGATTTCATATAGATAGTAATATAATCAATATAACATATTTATTATATTTATAATTATTGATTTAATTCATAAATTTATTTTAAATTTATATATATTACAATTTAATCATCTTAATAAATTAAAAATTAAAATAATAATAAGATTTTTTAATTACAAAACATATAATTAATCTATTTCTTTAAGTTTCATACTATTATTTTTATCTTCTTTCATAATTTAACATTTTTATATAAAAAGCATTTTATGAAATTTTTTAAAATATTGTTTTAAATATTTTTTAAATTATGTAAATAAATAAATTGGATTTAAAAAAATTTCACAAAATAAAAGTTATAATATTAAATATTGTTTTAATAATATATAAATAATGGTTACAATTGTAATATTATTTAAAAAATAATAATTTTATCAAAATTCTGCTTATAAATATGATTTTAGTTCTTCTTATATCTTACTTATATAATAAAATACATTAGATTATGATATATAAAGTATAAAAAAAGACAACGTCAATATAGTTCTTTAAGGATTTGTTTGGCCTGTTGCATCAAATTTGCATGACTACTTTTCCAACACACCAGAGTTGATGCTTAGTGACATTGAAGGATAATATAGAAATTAAATCGTTTTACACTAATCACTTTATTAAAATTGCATCTTAAAAAATAAAATTATATTTTTAAATACGCCTTTAAATAATTTAAAAAAATATATAAATTTTAATAAAAAGAACATAAAACATATTTTTTTTATTTTAATCTTTAAATATTGTCATTCTTTTAAGCAATTTTTTTGTTGTTATAGAGTAATTGAATATTACGAAATAATTGTGTAAGTATTATATTACTTCTATGGAATTATATCTCAAGACTAAGTAATGTGAAAATCTTTCTTATGTTTGTTTCTTCCATCTTAACTTTTTTTTTCTTATTTCTATATTCAAATATTTTTTTATTGGATATATTTTTAAAATAAACTTGACTTATAGATTAATGATAAAGCTAATAAGTAATTCTATTAGTATTATACCTATTTTTATTAAAACTTACATTTAAATTCATCTTCATCGTACTTTTTTTTCACTAATTCTTTTTTCGGCAAAAATCCAAACAGCTTTACCTTTTCATTTTAAACCATTTTCCTAGCCAAACACGACCTAACTATCCTCCATGATTCCCCTCAAAACTCATCCACAATCCCCCTCCATCTTCTCCGTTTCCAAAACTAACCCACTTCGCCGCTCTCTCCAACCCATTTCCCCCTCTCTTCTCTCACTCAAACACCTACCATCTCCCTCTTCCAATCTTCTCAGGGTTTCAAAAGCTGGAGCTTCAGTTTGTAGAACGGAACACCATGAAGAAGAACAAAAAGAGCAGGGGGTTTCGCTGGAACTTCACGATTTGTCACCAAATGGAGCTGTGTATCAGAAAACGCTGCAATTGGTTGAGTGTTCCATGTTTGCTGCACTCACCGGTCTCGTCTATTTCCTGAGCAATTCTCTTGCCATGGAGGTTTGTTAATGTGGATAAGAAATGAGTATTTATTTGTTTGTGGAATTTTGTTGAGAAAGGAGAGTAATCGGTCTGTGTGTTTTTGGTTGAGAATTGGCTGGTTTTGATAAAATTGAATCTATGTTTGCATTGAGGTTTAACAAATAAAATAGAGCAATGGGTCTTTTCATTTATTTATCTGAGGCCTGGGCTGAAATTTGGTTAATGTTAACAGAAACTCTTATAGTATCTTTATACCGGTAAGAAAGTTAAATGCATGTTTATTGCTTTTTTCACTCACTGTTTGGTTTTTGTTTCTGATTGCAGAATTACTTTAGTTGTTTCTTCTCATTGCCAATAGTTATATCGTCAATGAGATGGGGTATTGATGCTGGAAGGAAAACTCTGGTTAGACTTCTTGTTGTTTCCCTGTAGATAATACTTGAAGGATTTTATTTATTATTTGTGTAAATTGTACTGATATCCACTACATTCAATAAGAACTACCTCATTTTCATATCACATCATATTAATGAGTAGGATGACATGATGAAGGGATAAAATCTTATTGGATGTATGTAAAATATTATAAACAAACAATATATATAAGAGTGATGATATTTTTTTATAACCAATACAACCCCTCAAAAAAAAAGAGTATTAATAAAATAATAAATATTATTATTTAAATAAGTAGATGAGTTGTACATAAAACATTTTATATATATTTTGATGCATAAGACCGTGTATATCTGGGTAGGCAGATTAAAATCAATTTTGAACATTTCTTGAATTGCTGTGGACTCATTGAATTATCAGATTTTTAATGTTGCATTTGATTTTTGTTGTAGGTGGCAACAACTATACTTTTGCTTGTCTTGTCTGGTCCAGTAAAAGCTCTAACTTATCTGGTGAGCTTATTTTTATCTTTATGAACTTACTGAGCTAGGCAATAGGACTATGGACTCTGCCTCTATGCTTTCATTGTTGTTGTTTAGTGTTTTGTTTAGAAAAGAACGGAAGTGTAGTTGCGAGCCAAAAAGGTCATTTTTGAAAAAAAAAAAGAGTATTATTATATTTTAAGATGAGAAAAGTTGTTTACAAATTAGCTGTAGCATACATTTCATATCAAATATGTATACTCGGAACATGGTGTTAACTTGTGTTTGTGCCATCATCTCACGTGAGTTATATTTTCTCCCTCTACAGATGGATAGTAATTGTCAATTGTTTACAATATAGTCTTGGTATTACATGTCAACTTATTTGCATATGAATTAAAAGCCTATGTACCTTAGTTCATTCTTTACAAGAAGTGCAAGCATTGTCATTGAGAAATTTAATCTTTTTGCAGTTTTTGAACTTATAAGATTTGCCTCCTTTCATTTTTCATTTTCACGTATATTTTATGCTGAATAAAAAATGACATCTATTTATGAATAATTATTTCATGCAGCTTAAGCATGGTATAGTCGGTTTCACAATGGGTACTTTGTGGAGGTAAGTGGTGCACAGATTTTACGTTCTTCTAAACTTTGTAATGAATTTCATTGAATTGAGGTTACTAATCTGGTTGAATAATACTGTGGATAATTGGTCATGACAGTTAATTTTTAATTCAAGTTGAATGGGTTTGGCCTCACTTTTACATGAAATTCATAATTTTGAATTTTGTAGCATTGTTAGTCTTCTAAAGTATGTACGACTAACAAATGATATTGTCTTCATGTATGGAAGCAAAAATTTTCAATGTTTGCTTTCCTGCATAAGAAAATGAAAACCAAGATAAAAATCAGGCTTTAATTGGATCTATGAATATACTGAGCTTCCTATCTCTTTTTATTACAAATTTTCCATTGCTGATTTGTGTAGGGGGTTGTTTTCTTCAATTTCTATATAAAAAATTAACAAGTTTAAAAAATAAATTTATTTGAGATCCATCACAAGACTGAATATTTTCTTTCAAGGACAACAACTATAAGTTGTTAACCCTTTTCTTTTGTTGAAATAGTGTAAATAACGCCGTAACTGTTTTGCTTTCTTCTTTTTATGTCTTGTCAGGTCGGGAGCCAGTTGGAATCTGTCAATTTTCTTGTGCACAATTGTAATGTTTGTTACCTTTTACCTCAAGACATCTTGTGTCTATTTGAAGTGATTGTTTAGTTGCTTCTTTCACTCTTTTCGTATAATTATATCCAAGATAATGTGTGCAGGTACGGGCACTGGGTGCCGTTGGCTTTGTCTTGGTTTCGTCTTTCTTGATAAGGGAAAACATATTAGCTTTGGTAGTCAATTCTTGAAATCTCTACTAATCATTTTATCTGATAAATGAACAGCTATTGACTTTGTGTTTTTCTCTTCCTCTTGTTTTGGTATGCGTCTTGTAGATTACCATTAACATCCATGCTTCTCTCACATTTGTTCTCACTGCTTCTGGTGTTAATTCTATTCCTTCAATGAACGTGATATATACCCTATTTGGTATTTTGGTATGTCTCTTCTATACCGAGTCTTGGTATTGAATTTGTTCTTGGATCATTAAAATACTGATGCATATTTTTCTCAGGTTTTAATCAATAGTGGATGTTTCATGTTCTTGCTCCACCTGTTGTATTCCGTTTTCCTTACTAGAATGGGGATGAAGTCTTCACTAAGATTGCCAACATGGCTCGAGAAAGCCATATGACGGCATATGCATTCAAGGTTTTGCAAAATTTTCAATTAAAACGTTTTCTTCACTTTTAGGGGTTTGAGAAGGGATAGATTACCGAGGTTGTATATTTATTTACAATGGCATACCATTCAGCATACTACAAAGATAAATTATAGTATCTGATTCAGATTGGAGACAAAAAAATGAATCTTTATTAATAGAAAGGAAAATAGTGTTACACGCCAAGTATCAAGTAATCTAATGCTCTTCCAAATAGTTCCAAATACAACTCTCTGTTCGCAATCCCTCTTATTTGTAGGGAACTTCTAAGTAGCTATGGTTCTCAACATCAGTTTTCTGACTTAAATCCGTACTCGCGAAGATCAATCACTTTTCGTTCAGTTTGATGGAAAAAATTGAGATAATTGAGAATAGGAGTGAGATGGGTAATATAATTTTTATCTTGTTTTTAATATGATTTTATATTTAAATTTAAATTTTAAAATATTAATATTTTAAAAGTATTTTTTCATTATATATAAAGTAATTATTTTAGATTTTATTATTATTATTATTTTTCTTTTATTTATTTTTTAATTATTATCTTTTTTAATCTTTTATATCAATTAATTCATTATATTATTTTTTTTCTTTTATCTTTTACTTTTTTATATTTTTTTAATCTTTAATAAAAAAATCAATCTTTTTAATTAATTTGATAAAAACAAAATTAATTTTTTTTAATATTTTATATAAATATTAGTAGTAATTAATATTATTTTATTTATAATTTATTTTTATTAGATTTTATTATGTTATATTTTTTGAATTTTATTATTTTAATTTGTCTTATATCAAATTTTATTTTAATAAAATAATTATATTTTAAAATATAAAAATTTTGATAATTTAAATTTTTATTACTTTGAATTAATTAAATAAAAATAATTTATTAAATATATTTTATAAATGTTATAAATTTTATATTTCATATTTTTAAATCACAGTTTAAAAAGAATTAACTTATAAATAATTAAATATTTAAATATAGTATTATAATAATAATATTATAAATATTTGAATATTTATATTATAATAATAATAATAATTATTATTATTATTATTATTATAAGTATTTTGTATTTATGTAAAGAAAAATTAATTAAATGGTCTTTTTTACGTATATATTTTAATATAAATTAAAATATATATTTAATTAATAATAATTATAAATTATAAAATAATAAATATTTATTTATGTAAAAATATATATAATAAAATTAATTTATTATAAATATAATTATTTTTTAAAAATAATGTTGATCGGAAATGAGACCCAGAAACCGTAATTAACAGAAATAAAGATTTAATTTTTAATTTTGACAAATATCAGCAATGGGGATCGAGAAGGTAAAATCGGGCGTGCCTAAGTGCAACTCTCCTTCTCTCTTGACTATCATCAAATGATGGATAATGATGAGTTGATTTCTTCGGCTCTTATGGTTTATGCCAATTCACATATCATCATTTCACTGTTAAATTTTTTAGTTATACATTTAGTTTCTCCTTTAAATGAATAACAATTTATTCCTTAAGATTTTAATACAATTTTGTTATATTAATATTATAATTTCTTAGTAGATATTGGTTGAAAAATATCTACAATAAGTTAATGGAAAAATATCGTTCATTGATTTTTTTTTAAGTATTACATATTATTTATCATTAAAATAAAATTTATATTTAATAGTCATTAAAATATTTTATCTAAATAAAAAATTAAAATTCAATTAATTTAAATTTTTTTATCTAAATAAAATATTTAAAATATTAATCAATTTAAAATAAAATAAGTATTCACTCCTATGCTAGGGTGCTATTAGTAAGTTTTCGAATTCATTTTAATTTTTACATTTGGAATATTGATATACTGTAAGTAATTCTATATCTCAATCTAAGTATCAACTATGTTTTTAAAAATAATAAGTGGATGAAATATTAGGTTAACCTCATACTATCGTTTAAAGGTAGGACATAGGTGTGTGTGTGGGCTTCAATTTTAAAGAAAATAATAGAAATTTTAAATATGTTAAATGATTTGTAATTTTTTTTTAATAAGTACAATCTTTAAAAAATAATTAAATAAAAAAGATTAAATCAATGTAACCTTTTTAAAGGCTTTAAACACACAATAAAAGAATATATTCAACTTAATCACATTTTTTAATAATGCACTCAACTTAATCAGAAAAAAGTATCAAGAAACTGTCCAATTATATATATACATAGAAGGAACAATTTTATCGAATATCAATGATACCTACAAAAAAAAAATTCTAAGCTGGCTTGCAATAGACGTGTGAATACATTCTCATTTTTATATTTCTAATAATATTCGTTTAATCCATGATATAAACACTTTCATACAATTATTTAAATATTATATTAATTTTCAATCATAAGGCTTCTTTTAAGAATAACAATAATTTAAGTCAGATTTTGTTATTCGAACTATGAATACACTTATCTTGGGTTGTGACGCTGGTCTAATTATATATATAATAAAAACACTTTTATCTCTTGATATGCAACTCAACTTTTAATTTGTGATTGCAATTCTATGTTAATATATAACAATAATACATTTAGTCAATTTTTTTTTATTATGATACATTTTTTTTAATTAATATAACTTTTTCTATTATCCAGAAAAATATTCTCACGTCGGTTTTTCACTAGTGTTCATAACCATCGCAGAATACAAAAGAAAAAGAAAACAGAGACACGACCATACAGAATTACTCTGCTGAAAGGTTTATTACAAGAGTCAAAATCTTTATTTATAGTTCCATTTTGGTTCATTTTAAGTTCTGTAATCCATTCTCAAATTACCATGTCAAACCCACATCATATATATAAAACAAAATATGCAGATTTTGAAGTCATATTTAGAATTAAAATAAATATTTCTAGTGGTTGAGTTGAAACACTCAACATATAGATCTCCTAGTCTATCTATGAATCAACGTATAATTACAAGCTCCACGTTAGTCAAATTTGTCGAATAAAGCAAAATTAGTACTGACCAAAGCAAATTTGCTTGACTTGCAAGCTGAAATGGAAAAAATAATAACTCAGGAACACAAAGAGGAAAGAAAAGTGCTACTTGATGAAAGAAATTGACAATTTAGAAAATGCAGAACATGTCCAAACTCACTGAAAAAGCCATACCTAAAGGAAATCCTGGGTACATTCAAGCTTCCTTCCTAGTTATCCTGCAATTCAACAGAAGGTAAGACAGTTAGTGTAAAAAGCCATTGTCCTTAGCAAAGATTGGTGTATAAATAAAAGCAAGGATTGATCTAAGAGAATACAAAAACCAAATTTTTATATGAACTACCAATAATTTAGGCTTCATAAAGTGAAAATGATTTAGAGGATCAACAAATGCCAAATTTTACCTGAAACAGTATATTCCCAGGGCATTGGTAATTTCATGAATGACTGATGTGGCAAAATGCAAGTAAAGTGTCACTGTGTTCATAGAAACAGAATCCTTAAGTAAAACAAATAGAGTCATGGGATAAAGTATAAACATATTATGCTTCAATTTAACTGAAGTACAGTAAAGCCATGGCTTATGAATCAATTTCTTACGTTCCAAATAATTTGTTAATTTCTTTATAGTAATCTCCTAGTGAGATGAGCATCTTTACGTTACAAGCAAAACAATAAATGCCATAATCCATAAATAAGACCAAAAATCTGATACAGAAGTAATTCACCAAATAAAAGCATGATAGTCAAAACATTGGTGTATGCAACATATTTTGTGGTGTCAACTCTTTTTGGTAATTTCAAAATGTTTTTTTACGAGAAACAATGAGTTTCTTATGAGATGTGGGAACTATTTAGGTAATTATACCTGAAAATGCACAGTAACCAAGAAGAACTAGTCTTTCATCTAATAAAGGAGCCCTGCAAAAATATATATAAATGGGTTTTAGGAGGAGAAACAAACAAACATGAAAAGCATCCATCAATGAAATTCAGAAAGAAAATCACAATACATACCCATCATTTAGCCTTGAGGCAAGTACATTAGCGATGGCCAATGGGAGATACACGAGGGACTGAACAAGATAAATCATGTTTATAACAATTATCTTAGTGTGATTAAAACAACAATAATCAATCACTGAACTGAAATCAGAAAGATTAATATAAGTGTTTTCTAGCATGTTTGTTTTGTTATTCCACCATTGATAGACATCAATTATGATGAATCTCCAAACAATATTGTTATACCACTGAATACATGCTAGATAATCTAAAATTTTACGTAAATGAAAAATCAATCTAAAGATTTTCCTTTGAAAAAATGTATGAATTAAATTTTTAGTGTTTAAAAGAATTTTTATTCTAAAATGCATCAAAGCAAACATCATTGATATGTTTCATGTTGAAGTTTTCCAGATTTCAACGTCACATTGGGTTTTCAAAAGCCTAAGCTTCAGCTCAATTGATTATGTTAATAGATCAAAGATTGATGACTGAGTTCCTTGAAAAATAAAGATTTTCATTGTATAAGGGGGCATTGCTATGAACCAATATTTGATGTTCAGAAACTAAAATTACTCTAATGCCACAAGAAAAATATCATTCCAAATATTAGAAAAAGGTTTTGGAGGCAAGCAACAACTACTTCCCCTCCTTTAAGCCCCTCAAAATGTTCGTCAACATATCCTGCTAATTTAAGAATGGCATTGAAGAGGTGTATGATAAAAAAACATCAAACACCCATCCCAAACCATCATGCATATTAAAAATTCTATTAAAAAAACAAACACCAAACTGAAAATATTACATATTTTGTCCCCAATGCTACCTCCATGTTAATTCATTACAACCCTTGTTTTCATCATGATTGATCCACCAAGATTTTTCTTAAACCAAAAAATAATAATGAGGACATATTTGTGTTTTCATAGTTTTATTATGAAGAAGCTCGTGTCATCATTGTGTTTTCATAGTTTTATGATGAGGACAACAGCCAAATCAAGCATCTCAATAAATTAATTCAGAATGTAACATTCATGTAAAACATACCATGCACATCCCAGTTTTCAGACCCTTAGGTTCATCGCATAAATGAGCCAAAATCATCCTCCCCTGCAAAATTAAGCATCCCTCGTAAAAATCAATAATACATGGAGTTGTACATAAAAGGAAGCTAGCCTCAAACATTTGATTTTCAGAAGAGTTGCTAACAAAATATTCTAGAACAGACTGCAAGAAGTCTAAGGTTCACTCAAAAACATAAAAGCATAATTTAATGAATTCCAAATACAGTATAATTATTTATAATGGCATCAGAAAACTTAATTTCCATTACAAAATTAGAATAAAGAAAAAAAAAAAAAAAGCGAACAATTTTACAAATTTAAAACAGAACTGTCTTACCACAAGGTATCCGAAAGTAAGTCCTGTTCCAATGACTACTAAATGTGGATATCGCCCCACAATGTCTGATGGTGACAAATAATCCCTGCACCAAAAAATCGCTCAAGTGCTGCTTATTGAAGTAAAGAATAATAGAATAATGTACATATCTTTCAAACAAACTGGGTACAAAATTGGTGCATCTTGAGTTGAGTTTATACCACATAAGCACTCCTCCCACGAGTACAATAAATGGATAAAGCTGCCCAGGAAAAACACACATAAATAAAGCATATAGATTTTAGAGAAAGAATATTATATAGAAAAAAAAAAAAAAACATTACCATTGCCAATGCAAGTGGCATACTTCCATTCTTTGCCTTCACAACCTTATAAACATTAGTAACACTGTATAGAACAAAAAGATAATGTTGACCATCACATAAATTAAGTACCCCGCCTTAAGAAACACAAGGATCATTTTGTATTTAAATTGGTGTAAAATTTTGGCCTATATCATATATGCAGACATTTGTATGGTAGCTATTATTAGATTCTGGATGATTTAAGGTATAGATTTCTACATACTCTAAAATAACACCAAATGAACATGACAACAAGGAAGAAGTATGACATAATTCTGAGCTTGTCTTGAGATTATAGGGTTTAGGCAAGGAACTGAAAAATGAATAGACTCTAAATAAGGATAGATTAACATGGGTAATATGATGTGATACAAACTTCACCCTATTTACATTAGTACTGGACTCTTAAAATCATAAAAGAAAGAAACAAGAATATATATATGGAAATCCAGAAACCTCTATTATGAACCAATCTAATAATATAATCTGAAAATATTCTAAAGATAAATATAGATTTTGATCTATTATAAAATATTTTCCAAATTCTAACCCTCAAGATAACCTAATTAAGCTTTAAGTGATTAAAAATGAGTTCTTACACACTCACACACAGTACACAGATGGCAGGAGACATCAGAAAGATGAGCATTGCAGAAGAGATAACTCAATACAGCAGCAATGATTATCAACAATAGAAATTTCTTGACAAGCAAAGCTCGAAAGCTCAAACTTTTCCGATCCACATTTTGAAAGGTTTGAACAGCAGAAAAATGTAAAAGATTGGTAGAACTGGATTATTCAAATCAATCCCCACTTCGTAGCTCAGTGGAGATGCATTCATAAACTCAAATAAGGCAAACTACAAACTTTAAAAAATTATGCACCATAAGCAAGGGAATTCATCAAAAGTATGAATCATCATTGATATTGGAGATTTGATCATCAGTCTGGTTATATGAACGATAACCAATTTATCAGTGTATGAATCATTGATGAGAGAAAAGTCAGTGAGCTGATTATCAGTGGAAGAATAGTAGTAACCTCTGGTATGTTCAATGAACTACTGGAATAATTGATTGCTGGAAGACATGTCACCATTTATGCATAAATGTCAGGATAGGGTGAAACACAGGTGCTTGGCTTGGGGTCAACTGTGGGATTAAAAGAAGTCGCAATTCAAGGAAAAACAGAACCAGGATAATAAATCCGAACCCTTTTGAGCAAAAAATACACTACAACATAGAGTGTTTGGATAAAATAAAGACGAATATGAGGTAGAGGAACATGACAAGTCAATCAGTGATGACAGTGACTACAAACTTTGCCAGAAGTGTTTTCATGTATCAACTAGTGGCACATTAAAGATGGATTTAATTTAGGCCAATACTACTTTAAAAAAAATAGTATATGGATATTTGTGTTAAAAATATTTATATTCTCTAATTTTTAGTTTCAAATAAATTAGTCTAAAACATGAGCTTGTTAAAATTAATTTAAAGGTATGTTTTTCCGGTTGTGAGATGTTAACAATGTTAATTGGGGGTAATGGTGATGGTATTGGGAAATCCAAGAGAGAGAAACACCGAGGTCACGGGTTAACCCACAAGAAAACATGACATCACATTTAACCCAAAATTTTTAGGTGATAGGTTTGTGGGTATGTCTAACTTTTATGTTGCTTAACTTGTTTATTCCTACACAATGTATGACTCTATAAGACACTTGAACTCCAACAACTTCGCTTTAAGTATGAGTCCCTTCCACATTGTAAACTCCCCTTCGAGCAAAAGCTCTTACTTGTCAATGATTATTCAATGGTGATCCTTGTTACCATTGTTCACCTCAACATAACACCACCTAGATTCACTATCAAGAAGACCTTCTATACAAAGGATAATCCACACATTTTGATCCACCACCAAACTCACTGTACTCATCTAGAATGGTCACAAGGACAAATCATCAACTCTGATATCATTGTTGAAAATTTGAGGGAGAAACATCAAGGAAATTTTCACCAATGGGTCACATGAATACATATAAGTAAGAAAGACCCATAATGCTATCACTTTAAAATTTTGGGTTTAAGGTCATTTATTGTTCCCTTGTGTGTGAACTCATGACTCATCGATCAAAATCTCCTTTATATTTCTTCCCCTCTAATTTTCCAACATACCAGCATCACTATCCTCCTTATTGCAACTACCACTACTATCACTGCCTATGTGATCACTTACTGCATCATAATATCACCACCACCAATCATTGTTACTACCATTGTCATCATATTACCAGCATCACCGCCATCATTATTGCCAATGCTACCTTCTTTTGGAAATTTGAGCAAGAGATCTTCACTAAGTCACATGCATTGTAGTCAAAATCGAGAGGAAAATCATAGAATCATATGATTCCACAATTTTGCACCCCATTAACAATTTAGTTCCATGCAAGATCAGAATAGTGTAGGATCACTGGAATCGCAGTCCAAGATCTAAAAAACACAGAATAACGATCTGGGTTGTGTTTTGACATTGCGTTGCAAGCTGCGGATGCATAATTGGTCGTTGGGGTTGCATTACTAGTTGTGGGTTGAGGCTTGCGTATGAGACAGTAGGAAAAATTTTTTTTTCATGAGTTGTTTTTTGTTCTCTTTTTTCTATGTTTATTTTGAAATGTGACTTGATATTTATTTTATTATTATATTAATCTATATTTTATAATATATAAAAGTAAATCTACGATCCGTGTTACGATTTATGATTTTGTGAACCCCTTACGATCTCACTCATAATCTCGATTTTGACAACCTTAGTCACGAGTCAACACACAAGAGAATATGACACTAAGTTCAATTTAAAATCTTAAGGATTACTTACAACTTGCACTTAAACTCGAATAAGAACAAGTGCAAGTGGGGATAGTAGTAATAGTGGTAGCAATGGTAGTGAGGGTGGAGGTAGCAGTATTGTGATGGTGGGGATTGTGATGGTGTATGAATATACTGTAAACAGAGTAATTCTTAACTGCTTCTCTAGTGTAATTAGTTATAAGTTAGTTAGATTGTGCACAGCTGTCAACAAAACAGCTCTCTTATAACAGAGTAGCAGGGTCGCCTAAAATAGTTAGATTGTAACAACTCTCTTATTGAGAATGAGAAATAACAATTCAGTTGATGTTTTTTATCCTTTTCCTGTTATCAGTTTTCAGTTCTCTCACATAACAGAGTAGCAGGGTCGCCTACATAGTTTCAAAATTAAAGTATCTACGGAGTGGAAAGAATACAAACAGGACAGGTCACAGAATTTGACACGAGTCTAATAACATTTTGAAATGACAAGTTTAAGCATGCAAAACACAGTAGGGTGAATAGAGACTCAAATTAACATGACTTTAAATTGATTTCATGTGTTGTAATGTCATATAAAATATAAATCACTGGTCCTTTATTCATAGACTATAAAATTAAAATAGAAATCAAATCAAACAAGGAAAGAAACCAAGAAAGAAAAAATCAGGAAACCACTCCATAAGATCATCTAAGAAACTATAGAATATTCTTCGGTACAATATAGCTAGTTATTTTCTATATTCCAACTACTTGGATCACAGTTTCAGTCCATCGTCAATGCTGACCACTAGTAACAAAATAACAACCAAATCTAAACGGAAACATTTGAGATATCAGAGTTGGGAAAATTGAGCAAATTTTGGACCAAGGGTTAGATTGTATTGCACATGCTAAACAATATTGAGACAATAATTTTAGTAATACATACTTGCATGTGACCGTCGGTGTAACACCAAAAGCTATCATTAAACACAATATAGATTTGAATGTTGGGAATCCTGAAATGCAGAACGAAAATAGAAATCAACAAGTTATTTATCCAAAACATTGACTGTATACAAACCAACAATCTTTATTACGATGAGCTATACTAGACAAGCAAATGGAACCCACTTGTTTATGTTATTTGAACTAGACAACCTTAACTTTATTACTCGATGTTTATTAGATAAGCACACAAAAATGAAAAGATAAGAATTTGATTAGCTAGCTTTTCATGTCACTTTCAATTGATATGTTCTTATTATTACTTAAAAAGTTCACTTTATTTTCAATTTTTTCTAGTTTCTAAGAATTTGTAAAGGAAATGGGGAAACAAGATTTTGTTATTTTCACCATTTCCTTAGAAATTCCCTGAAAGTAGAAAACAAAGTGAAAAAAGGAAGCAGTTTCTTAATGGTAAAAACATATCAATTGAAAATGAAAACTGAGAAAAGCAAAGGAGATGCACCCGATGTACTCTTAAGACTTAGTAAACAAAGTATGATCAATTCGGAACTATTGGTCTCTACCAATTCACAATATAATCTTATTTACAGCATACATAGATTCTCACTATTTTTCAAAATTAAAATAAATAAATTGCCAAAAAAAATTGACCATCTAGACCAGACATTGAGGAACATAATCTGCATAGCAAAGGACGTACACACTTAAAACCAAAAACTAGATCCATTAATGGTACATCTACAAGAGGAACATATTCTATATGGCAAAGGACATACCCTCTTGCAACTATAAACAATATCCATATCCATGTTTGGCATATTGACAAATTTTACTTTGGCTACATAGTTTAGTCAGCCAAATTGTGTAGCTAGGCCATACAATGATTTGTCCATTCATAGGAAAATAAGTTCCTTATGCATATTTACCCAAATCCTAAGTTCATAAAATACAAGCAAGCATCTGTGTGCAGACAAGGACATCTTACCATCAGGTATCCAGTGAACATGCAGAATTAAGAGTTTGATTGAAAATGAGGACATATTGCAGTAAATTTAATATTTTTTCATGTAAACGGCAATAAAATACATAAAAGTGGTCTCCAAAAGCACGAAGAGCCTTCAGCAAATGAAATACCAAAAACACGTTTTAGGAGATGTTATATAAGAAACATGGGACATTTATAATAATTACCACAAATAGAAATAGATACATAAACCTTTTGTTCCAAAATAGAAAGAATACTATATAATGAAGGATGTCTTACCCCCAAGATAAGGAATCCAACTTAAAAATGGCAAAGACTTTTCAAATGGCTGAGCCCACCACTCAGCACCTGTATAATCAAAATTATAATGAGAAGAATAATAACAACATGCATGGGCTTCTAAGCAAACTTTGTAGTTGTGCACAACAAAAGTCCATACCCACGATAGCAGTGAAAAAGTGGCAGATGTATATTATCATAAGACCCTCTGTAGGCCCATTTATAACAGGCAATATAAGTGTATTGGTGAAATAGCTGCATCCAAAAAACATTTAAAAGAAATCAACATTCCTAGTCTGTCTAACAGATGAAATATGGTATTAAAATATATAATCATGCCAAATTGCCAATTTTGTGATTTTATAAAAAGGGAAGATGTCAGCATAAGAATAAGAAATATTTCACTACATTACAAGAATACAATAAGGAAAGGATATTAGACTCGAGAGTCTACGTAAACTCGTGAGAGGTCGGTAAACTCGACTCGTAAACTCGTAAGAGTTTACTTTATATGAAAAATATCAATTTAATAATAAATATAATAATATTAATTCCTTATTATTAAAATAATCAAAATAAAAACTTAATTGAATTTGTACAATAGTATAATCAAAATTAAAAAAATTTTAAATGTCTAAAATCTCTCCATCTAAAATCCCAAATCCTTTAATCTCTCAATCTAACCTGTTTTATCTATTCAAAAACCCTAAAATCACAAACCCCTTAATTCATCAATCTAACCTAGAGGACGGTGCGCATCGATGAGCAACGACAAGGAACGTGACCACCGCACGACCCAAGTGAATGTCGTGCAACCACCGCGTGACCCAGGTGAACATGCGCGACCAAGTGAGCGTTGCGTCACCATTGCGTGACCAAGGATAAGCACGCGACGACGACCACGACGATGATAAGCAGCGACGGATAGTGGGAAGGAACGAGATCTAAACTTATGAAAAAAAATGAGGAGAGTCAAAGAATATTTAAGTTTTTCTTTTTCTTCAAACTCGGTGACTCGCCTCTAACTCGAGAGTTTACTTAGAGTCTACCGAGTTCACCGAGTTTGACTTAGAGTCTACTAAAAAAAGAGTTTACTCACGAGTTAACTCGTATCTGGTTATTTGACTCGTTAACTCGTAAGAGTCAGCGAGTTGACTCGAGAGTTTGATAACCTTAAACAGGACATTGCAAAGAAAAAAAAAACAATATTATATAACATATCATCTATCATATATATATTAATTGATCACGATAACTTACTGCTCCCAGGTTGCACCATAAAATGTAATTGCAGATATTAACCACCACCAGAAAGTACCTCTTCCACACATGGCTGTGCTCCCAAAAGCCAATGCTTCAAACTAGAAACAGGTTATCATATATGATAGTCTTTAATCACTTTCAATCATTTAAGAATAATAGTCAAAGCTAAAAGACATACAGTACAAGCAAGTGCATCACACCCTGCAAATAAAGTTGAAAATATTTCATTAATAACAAACAGGTAAGCATAATGAAAAACAGTTGAGTGAGAAACCGATGCAAGAAAATCACCATGATCGAAGAGCTCCCCTAATGGGCTTGAGGAATTTGTTCGTCTAGCTTGCTTCCCATCAACAGCATCGAATGTCTAGGGTGTACATATACACATATGAAAACAATATATAAAATAATTATAGAAAATAATGGAAACATAGGCATCATATAGTAAACATCTTCCATGCATAAACCACATGAGTAATGCTTAGCTGTCATGTCATAAACTGCACATGGAATAACTAAACATAGTAGGACATAAATCATCAGAATGGCAATGAGGAAAAGATGAAAAAAAAATTCCAACATTGAATGCTTTTTTGGGAAATTCCACTGCAATATGAAACAGAAGTTTCATATGTAAACATCTTTGGAAGTCAAGGTTCAATAATTATAATAATATAATGTCACAATCATAAATATAAAAGGCTTCAACCATTAGAGCACTACGTTTATACTTCTAAAAGATTAAATAATTCAAATCATTTAGACTTGTTTTGAAACAACACTACAGTCATTATAATCAAGATTCAAGAGACTAGTAGAGGGCAATATTATGCACTTCAAATGAGATCATGATTCAAGGCAACTGATAATTACATAAGTAAAATTCAGCCCAGTCAGTTGCATCAAGGCAGATAAACAGATCTACCCAAAATAAAGATTGAAACTAAAGTCAAACAGACTGAGAAGTTGCCAAGTACTGCACTACAAGTACTTAATCCTACCTGGTATAAAAATAGAAGTAATCCATGAGCAAAATTAACCCATCTTGGAGGAGCTGAGTCCAATTGAGGGGAGTATATCTGAAAAATCAATAAATAAATTTATGTAATGAACCTATGAAGTCATTGTTTCAATACATTCATTCACTACATCCAAACTGCGTACCCTAACCATCTAAAGAAGAGTTCAACAAAAAGAAATCATCAATATACTGGTTTTAAAAATTGAAAATTTCATTCTATCATTTGACAAATGAGAAAAATAAAGTGAAGCATTGGAAGCTATAACTGCTATGACTTTAATTTTAGGAAGTAGAAAGAATAATGGACTCGGATTATACTTACATAACCAAGCAATGCAGACAATACTAAGAACATAAATCCCATAAGAGTTATCTGCAATCAAGCAATTTATGCTCATCAGTGCCAATTGTGATCCTTATGATAACAACACTAAAAACTACAGGTGATGCTACAATAAGAAAGGAGTAAAGGTGTACCATGTTCGGTCTGCAAAGATGTGAAGGTGTCAATAGATCAGGATAAATAAAACAAAAAGTTATTAGTTAGTGAATTCAGAACTCATAAACTAAAGTTACAAAAAGAATAATTTGCCAGAAAGTAAATGATATTATTATCTTATGAATAAGAGCGTGTATGAAGTTAACAAATATTTCAATCAGGAGGTGAACTATCCACATGGACAATAACCTCCGTGTCAAATGATAACAAGTATTAATGACTGGATAATTTCAATTCCACAAGCCAACGAAAACAATTCTATGTAAATATATATATATATATATATATATATGTATATATATATATATATAATTTTGGAATTTTCCTATAGAGGATACTCTAAATTCTTATGATGGCTGTATAAGAAATTTTAAGACACTAAGTATATACATGCAAAACAAATAAAACAGCCATTCATATACAAACCAAAACCTAAATTACAAACATAAGAAAAGATTACGAAGCTATCCTAAGGCTAGGGTTAACTTTATGCATATCACTCAAACTAATGACATTATCAAGATACAGTAACTATAACAAAAACAATATTATAATAATATTTAGTTATAAGAAAAGTTTCATGACTAGAATAAAAACACTCAATCTGCTCAAATATAGTTCATAATATTATTTATCATCCTTGAAGTAAAGAGATGTTTCTATATTAACAAATAATTAAGTCAAAATAAAGAAATAACTTAGTTTGATGCAAATCATAAAGTACTCACGGCATCCATAGGGGAAAAAAATTAACAAAGCGAGTCCAAAAGGGTTGTAGTACATATTTCGCCACATAGGAATGATCTACTCCACTATATTTATATCTGTGCAGAGCTGCAACACCGTGAGACCCAATATAACCCATTTGTTCTCTGATAAAAGTCCGAAATAAGCTTCAAGGATAAGTTAACCCTCAGGACAACCTGCTGAACTTTGAAAAAGAACAATTAGCCCAAATAAATATAGGAATTTGTAATATGCCCATTTGAAAACTGACAGCACACTGAATCTGAATATCACAAAATCAACTTGAACAAATTTGAAAGGAAATCCATAATGCAAACTGATTAACTGACAAGAAAAGACCAGAAAGTATTTTACACAAAAATAATGCATTTTTAAAAGATGTCTAAATCATACATAGAATTGATCTAGAATATGGGGGGGGGGAATCCCTTTACATAAAAATATGAAAATGGGAAAAAAAAAATACAAAACAAACAAAAAAGCTTCTATGAAACAAGCAAAATAAAAGTAAAAAATTACTTAGCAGCCATATTTCAAACAAAGAGCTTAAATTATAATAACTAATCATGATAGTAAACCAATGTTTTGATGATAATCATAGTTTAAAGAGACTTAGTAGAAAGCATAGTTTAAAGAGAGTTCACATCAAAACTAAAAGAGTAAATTAAAAAAAAATGAAAGGACACAAAGAAAACTCAAAATATAATCAAACAGGTGGATTATGAACAAGATGTTTTCTTGTAAGAACCAAATCCTATTTTTGTAGTTGAATATGACATATTATTCAACTTTTGATAATATTCTCATACTCTAATCAGAAGCAGATTTCAATTAGTCTATCACACACAAATCACAGTTATTATCGAAAGCCACAGAGTAAAAATAAAATTCACAGTTTTGTAACATCATTTTTAAGCTTAAATCCATAAAACCAAATATAACAATGATCTCCCTTGACAGTTCAACAATCTTAGGAATCATTAAGTAATTTAATTACTTAAACCAATATCAGAGATTATCTAAAGTACATGTTCTGTTTGCAAGTTAATCCAAATCGGATCAGCTTGTTTTGTATATCAAACCATTCAATATGTATAAAAAAACAATAGAAACACATCTTATAAAATAAAAGTTACTACAGTTAATGTTTCTACAGGGCTTTATTAACACAATGCGCAAACAAATCAGAGCAAGCGTCCTTGTCTATAAATAATGACTGGACATATGTAACTGAAAGCTGAAAGAATACAGTGGCAAGACAAATTAACACAAAATTCAGCTCACTTGTAGGAATCATTCACCTCACTGCAAACCCACTGGTTCTCTTTTCTTTCAAAACCATAAACCTATTAACTTAAAGTAAAAATATCCACCAAAAGGAATACACTCCACAGCACCAAATTTGCATGATCTAAACAACCCATCCAACTTTCTCAAAGAGAAAAGAAAAAACACAAAGTAGAATTTTCATAGTCACAGCAACTAGACAACACAAATACATGTCATGAACTACAGGATCCAAGCCTAAACCTCGAAAGCTAAAGCTGAAACCCAATTGTGCTATAACCTCACATGGAATGGAACTCAATCAATACACCTCCGAAAGCTAACACCCAAAATCTGCATATAAGATTGCATCGCCCTTAATGCAAAAACACCACTCGGAAACGGAAAACAGACACCAACACTTTTAAGGGAAATATCAAAAAGCAAACTTTAACCGGATCCGATGAAGTAAAATCATACAATGATACCCATTTAAAAAAATATATTTTTTATATATAAAAAAACAGGAATATCAATAACAAATCATTTGTTACAGCACAGGGATGTTTCGAAATTGAAAGCAAAATGTGGAAACGAAAAATGAGAGGGGTGGCTGAAAAGAAAACTGACCTGAGAAAAGAAATGAGAAGGGAAAAACTTCTCCTAAACACATGGCATCGTTGAAGAAATATAAAGCGTGTTCCTTTGTTTGGTTTTCACACCGCATATTTTTCCAAACAAAGTTTTCACCTTCCCCAACACGGTAGTATTTTTTTATTCGTTACCTTTTTATTTTCTACAACTTACATATGAGACGCTTGTTTCAACTTTCAAGGAATCTTTTGTTTTTTTAGGAATATAAAAGTGGAAATATTTATTGTTACGTGAGAAAGTTATTAAAAACATGTTTAAGTATTTTTTTTATTTTAGAAAAGTTATATTCTCATTTTTAGGCTCCAGTTTGGAAAAGTTATATTCCAATAACTTTCAGAAGTTACCTTTAATTCTATCGTAACTTTGTTTACGTTTAGTTATTAAAAAGCGTTATGAAAATATTAAAAGTTAATCAAATCATCTTTTACGTCTTTATAGAAATATCTCAAAATAAATTATTTTTGGAAAATATTCATGAGAAACTAAGAACAAACTTTTGAAAAAAAAAACAAGATAAAGTATTTTAAGGTTGAAAGTGTAATATGAATTTCACTATCATTTATCCCACATTTCAAATAAACCTCGTTTTTTAGCGTTTAACGTTAACTTTGATATTTGTTTATTGTCCAACTCACAAATTATAAAAAACAAAAATAAAACAATTGAAAAAGGAGATTTCATAATTTACCTCTTGAATCATTATCGCACGATTTGTGCAAGATCACTATCATAAGTTTTATATATATATATATATATATATTATAATGTAAGAGCATTTCTAACTCAAATATCCTAAGAAGGTCTTAAAATTTAAGATTTAAGTTCACAAGAGACTGTCCTTAGAACAAGTTGATGTGATATGTGATTTTCCTTTACATTTAATATTTAATTAAATATCTTATAATCTTTGTATTCTTTTCTTAAACGTTAACCCAAGGGAGAAAAATAAATAAAACAAAAAGGATAATGTTCATGTGGCGGTACAAAATTAATAAAAAATTATAAAAAGAAGTTTCAAGCACCAAAAGGTAGAAAAGAAAAAGGTTAGTCTTCTGAAAAAAGAGGTTGAGATAAAAAAAAAAAGCATATATTTTCCAGCATATTCCTTCTGGTTCCAGTCAATTTTATAAAATAAAATTTATTTAAAATATTAGAAATACTAATTATTTAGAAAATTGAGTAAAGTTGAAATGATTAAAACAATAGTTTTTAAAAATATTAAACTTTCATCACGTGTTTAAGGAACAATAATATAAACGATTATTTTAACTTCACTTACTAATAGTCTCAAATCAAAATTTCAAGGTCTCGGTAGATTCGTTCTATTTGGTCAAAAAGTAGACACCACGTGTTTTGCCATTTCAAACTTTGCTGTCAATTTGTTTCTCGCATGTTGATCCCATGGTTCTTCTTTGAAGTGTGTAAATAATACTAGTCTCATAAAAGAAAGTTATGATAATTATTTTAATATATTACATATGTAGAAAATTAAATCAAACAACTATTTAAAAATTTATTTTTACCAAAAAAATAAAAAATAATAGGTAAGAAATCGGTAAACAAAATTGAATTGTTTCCGTCGCGCGTGACATGGACCAAGGAATGTAGAACTAGAAATGTAACTTTGGGATACGAAACAACAATTGACTTCAAGACATTTGGAGTATACAAAAAATTGAGTAGAAGCATAGGGTATTAAAAAATAAATAATAATTAATATATAAAAGGGTATTGAAAATTTATTATTAATATTTAGTTTTTAAAATATAAGATAATTGTGTTTTTTTTTATTTTATTTTAAAAAGTATTTTTAGTTTCTTAAAGTATACAAAAATAATTTGAGAAATTAAAATATTTTATTTATTCAAACTTAATGACTGAGGATTAAAATATATTTTATTAAATCTAGGAGTGAATTTCTTTTAACTTGAGAGACTAAAATTATATTTATTCTAAATTTTAGAAACTTAAAAAAATGTATACGAATCTACCCTTTGCTATCTAATTTGTTATTAAAAATTAGTTAGATTAAAAAATTAATTTAATTTTTTATATGAAAAAATTACAAATTAGATATATACCATGCTCTTTAGCTCCATTCCTATTTCATGCTAATCATGGCATCCCATACATTAAATGAACTATTTCACCAGAGTTGTAGATTTTAATATGTCTCGTAGGTGAATTTACGGATTAATAAATAAATTCATCAATATTTTTTATTTAATATTAAAAAATTACTATATTTATATAAATATTTAATTCATCTATAATTTAAATTTAATTAATTAATATTTATAATTTAAATTATAATATTATAATATATTTATATTTTTTAATAATATAATATAATATAAATATATATATATATATATATTTATAATTATAATCATTTTAATTTTAATATATAAATATTTTAAAAAATGTCTGGTCCTATGAATTTAATATTAGTGGGGCGACCCATTGGGCCTAACCGTTGTTTTTTTTTCTTGGAAACAATTATTTTGCTTATACCTGCGAACCTAACCAACAAATTCATACAAGTCATGAATAATAATTTCTTGATTATCATTTAAAATTTTTCTTATAACTATGCTGGTACATTGTGGAGTCTTTTAGTTCTCTAGCAGCATTCTTGCAATCTAAGAATATCCTCCACTAAAACTGGATCATAACATTTGCAAGTATTTTTATTGTACCTATTTCATGGGATCATAAAAGGATCATGTGCTATAACTTCATAGTTTATAGACAAGTTGAGTCTGTTTACCACTTTGAGTACTCTACAATTCATGAAGCACATGTTGGGGGAGGAAGTTACTTATTCTATTTTCAATGAATAGCCAGATGCAGTTTGGCAGCAGAAACTGTTCAACTCTTGCTTTGTGGTGTTCTTTCTTAGAAGAATTTGCTGGTATGATGTGCATGTGGCTATATTAGTTTTCATTTTCTTCAATTGTTTTCATCTATATATAGTGTCTACTGTCCAATTGATTTTCATTATCAGGAGAGTGGCCAATGGGGAGATCATGTCTTCCCAAATGCAGGCTTGCCAGAATAATCGGTTGGATACAGATGATTTTGGGAGGGTTGGTCATCTTGGTAAGCATTTTGAGTCTCACTAGATTCTACTATGCAGGGTTTTTCCTCCACAATGAAGATATATGCCAACATTTCTACAATGTGAGGGATGTTTCTGATGGTTTTGATGTCAAATCATTCTCAGAGAGAGCTGGAGAAGTGATAGACATGTTAGAAACTTTGCAGGGCAAGCTTGAGTCAAAACTGCAAGAAATGGAGAAAAACAAGGGTACCTTGTTGGACAAGAAGTTTCTAGAGGACCAAATAGTTGGGCCTCTTCACCGTGCCAATGTTGCTGTAAGGCAGATTCGGGTTCCAAAGGTTGCAGGGATGAACTCCACAGTGAAGGAGGATTCTTTGATCAATTTTTTCATCACTGAGGAGATTAGAAAGTACATAACCCCAAAGGAGAATAGAGTTGGCAAGATCAACGTATATGGTACAGAAAAGGTTTACAACACAATTGGTCATGCCTGTGTTTTGTACAAGAACGAGCTAGAGAAGTACATGGACTATGACATTGGCTCCTACTGTGATGATGATTGGAATTTGGCTCAGAAGCTTATGCTTAATGGGTGTGACCCTTTGCCTAGAAGGAGGTGTTTGACAAGGGCCTCAAAGGAGTACCAACGGCCATACCCTATCAATGAATCACTCTGGAGACTACCAGATAGAAGAAATGTAAGGTGGGGGAATTACCAATGCAGAAACTTTGAGTGCTTATCCAGCAAGAACCCAAAAAGGGGTTACTCAAAATGCACTGGATGCTTTGAAATGGAGAAGGAAAAGCAGAAATGGGTGTCTAATAGTTCACTTCTTGTAGACTTTCTTATCAGTGAAGTTTTGGCAATTAAGCCAGGAGAGGTTAGGATTGGACTAGACTACGGCATTGGCACTGGCACATTTGCAGCAAGAATGAGGGAGCAAAATGTGACAATTGTCTCAACTGCACTCAACCTTGGGGCTCCTTTCAATGAGATGATAGCTCTTAGGGGTTTGGTGCCTTTATATGTCACATTAAACCAAAGGCTTCCATTCTTTGATAACACTATGGACTTGGTGCACACCAATGGTTTCATGGATGGTTGGATTGATCTTTTGTTGTTGGACTTTGTACTGTATGATTGGGATAGAATTCTAAGACCAGGAGGTTTATTGTGGATAGACAGGTTCTTCTGCAGCAGAAAGGATTTGGATAACTATATCTACATGTTTCTTCAATTAAGGTATAAGAAACACAAGTGGGTTATTTCTCCAAAGTCAAAGGATGACGTATATCTCTCTGCATTGCTGGAAAAACCTCCTAGAGCCATATGAACACAACCAAATTCTTGTTTTTTTTTTTCTCAATCTTTATTTATGTAGCTGTGTTATTAGACATGTATGAGAGTAATCAAGAGTTCATGTCTTTCTTCTGGTTTTCCTTCTTGGTAACGATGTTAGTGGAATAAATCGCAAAAAAGTAATGCAACGTGGTTGTACCTTCTACTGATGCACTACAAAATCTTTCAAAATTATTATTACTTCTACGCTTTCGTTAAACAAAGTTATCTTATATATTTGACCGTGAACATTTCTTAAAATGATGAACTTAAATTTATCAAAAAGTATTTAATAAGTTGTTTTTGTTTATTTCCGATATGGAAATTCAGATGGGAGGATATTTGTTAATGGGTTTGATTGGGCCTAGAAGTCCATAAGGGCTCGTAGAAATTGCACGGAAAGAGAGCTTTGTTATTTTCATTCAATCAAGTCTGTTTCTTCGTGCATCAGTTTTTTTTCATGTATTTTCATCTCTACCTAAAATAACAATATCGTTTCTGATGTAAATATGTTTCGAGAAATTGAGTCTAGAGTTACTATTTGTATTTTTTGGAATATAGTTTTTTTATTATATTTTCCAAAAATATATTTTAAAAATTTGATTTTAAAATATTTCTAAAAAAGTCAAAAAAATCCAGTAAATCGCAATCTAAAAATAGGTTTTAAATTTTGGAATTATATGAATTTCAAAATCAACCATCTATAATTTACTTTTAGACTGTATTTTTTAAATATAATTCTGAAAAACACTATCGAAAATGAATTTTTGATTGTTAAATTTAAAATAGATTTTTAGACTGTATTTTTCAAAAATATATTATGAATTCAATAATATGAAATATCACAAATATAAATGTAATACTTTTTTTAATTTGGGATCTACAACATAATTCAAAACATAAATAACCAAGAAGAGATAATTTGTAGTCATTATGGATTATATTTTTTTTTATACAATCAGTAAGTATTTTTTATATTATTAACCAAATACAAATAAACTAAGATATTATTTTTAAATTCATTATTGTAAAAGTTAACTTCTATAATAATATTACAAAAGTTAGTTTGGTTTAATTAAAGTAAAGGAAATAATTTTTTGAAAGATAAAGAAATACTCTAGAGGGGTATCAATGACTAAATTTAATAAACGTTTATAGTTTATATGAAGCATCACTAGTCAGAAACGTTAGGTAAAGGATGAAGCATGAGCTGTGTGATTCGCAATGCAAGACGTAAATGCTACTGAGAATCTAGTGTTTGAGTTTCATACGAATTGAAATGGTATATAACCTTGCTATCAGCAATTCCATCATAACTCTAAAAATACCCTTTTATAATAAAATTTACGAGGATACACAGAAATGTTAATATCTATATTCCCTTAAAATTTGATTCTTTTCCTCGTTTCACTTAAAATTAAATAATTTTATTCAAACAGACTATAAAAAAAAAATATTGTTTATTTATTCATCCGATTCTTTCCCAATAAACCTGGTAAAAGTAACCCTGACGTGCGTGAAAACGCTAGTAATGCAATACAGCTAGTATATAATAGATTATTGTTTTTGTTATTCTTAGGGTTTTCACGTAGTACAATTAAAGTGGGTGGAGTCACGACAATTTACAAGGTTGGACCATGGACAGAATATTAAAAATCCGAAACACGCATTTATTATTGAAGAAAAGTGGCAAAGGGCAATAATGGAGATGCCAGATAACATCTTTATTTTCTCTCTCTTTTCGTGTTTGTGACCAAATCTCAGTTTTGCTTTTCATCAAAATGAAGGGCTGTCATCCATTTGCTACTCTACTACTCTCTCTCATTAGCATGCCAAATGTGAGGCAAGCAGCCATAGTCTTCACGTAAAAGGACAACCAAAATTCCCATGGCTCCTATAATTCCACCTCATCTTTCTCATTAAATTCAAACAAAATCAACAATCTTTTCCATCTTTTATTCTTCTTTACAATTTAGACCATTTTGTTTCCAAATTAAATATAAAATCTCACTCTTAAATTTTACATTAAAATGTATATTTCTTTATTAAAAATATAAATCTATTTTTTAAGACCAAAATGGCCTGTCAGTTAAATTATATTTGCTTTGGAGTGATTTAGTGAAATTAAAGTTTGGAATTATTTTTTATTTTTTCCTGTCCAGACAATAATAAGGCGCATCTTTTTCTCTCTTCCTATTGCCCGAGGACAAATAGTCTCAACTTTTTCTCTTTCTCCACCACACAACTTTAATTGCCATTTTGTAAAGTTTTTTCCTTTTGTTTTTTTCACGCCTTTCACCTGGTATTGGAAGATTATAAAAATCTTGTCATTTTACGTTTACATGTCAAGAACCACTAGCAACTATTGTTTATGTACTCATTTGCTTTTATTGTTGTACAATTGAGCTTATATATGAAAGATATGTAACAAGAGTCATTCGACGCATTTGAGACTCCTCCTCCTTTGGTTGTCTCGTGTTTGATAAGTAAAAAAATGGGGTGATTGGATTGGTTTGGGGATTAATTAGGGTGCCACAAGGATGAATTTCCAACCCTGTCTTGCATGAGTGACGATTACGTACATCTGGTAAAAATGGCGGTTCCGTCCAGATGTTAAGTATTGAGTAAAATATTTGATGATACAGTGGGATCAAATAATGTAGATTCTAATGTTAAGAATTATCGGAATATCAAATTGTTTTGTATAATTTAACTTATTTTACATGCTTTTTAGCATATTAAAATAAAAATATTAACATGTTATATGTAATTAATAAATTATTTATCATATTGTCATCTTACAATTTTAATTAATAAATTTTAAAATAAAATATAATAATAATTTATGTTAAAGAAGAAAATTGAATTATTATAAATTTTAATTGATAACTTAATAATTGATTTTATAATTTATCTACATGTTTTCATATTTATTTTAAATAATCAAGTATAATATTCACTTGATTACGTCATAATAATCAAATTAAAACAATATTTTTACTATGACCTAAACTTATTAAATAATAATGGTATACTAAATAATCTTAAACATAAAAAATTGAAAGTGAATTGAATTGAATAATATATATAAATTACGTTGGTCAACACGTTTCACAGTTTGTGTATTCCATGTTAGAAATAAGTCAAAACTGTTTTTTCTTTCTGTTTTTGTACTGTGTATAAATACGTTTATTCATTTCACATAATATACGTAATTCCTATCATTCTTGTGCATGCATGCATAGTTTTTATATGGTATCAAGAGCCAGAACGATTTAGTGAGGGGGTCTTCCAGTCCGTGAGTTGAGAAGTGGTTCTCTTGTTTTTTATTCTGTCAGACTGTGTGTGGCGTGTCAGGGTGTCTTTGTGAAGCACATGTGAAGTTCAAAGAAACCTATAGCGATTCTTCAAGAAACGTTCAAAAATCATGGTTGGACTTGGTGGATTCATTCCTGGAGGGTTGCCCATGTTCGATGGAAGCTGTTTTGATGATTGGAAGATCAAAATACGCGCGATGTTTGGATTCTAAGATGTGGCCGAAGTGATCGAAGTTGGCGTTCTCGATCCCGGTAGCAAGGCATCAGACGAAGAGAAGAGGAATTACAAACAGATGCAGAAGATGGATAGCAAAGTCAGGTATTTGCTATATCAATGTGTGAATTCTGAGATCTTTAACAAAATTTCAATGGTTGAAACGGCTAAAGAAATATGGGAGATTCTCATCAAGACTTACGGAGATAGTGACAAGCACAAGCGAGTAAAGTTGCAGGCCCTACGTAGAAGCTTTGAGTTCTTGATAATGGAAGACAACAAATCTGTGGCGAGTTACTTCAACAAAGTTCAGAGTGTGGTTAACGCCATGAAAAGCTGTAATGAAACATTGTCTCAAGAACACGTGGTAAACAAGATTCTTCATTCTTTGCATCCAAAGTTTGACCATCTTGTTATCACAATTGAAGAAACAAAGGACATCGACAAGCTGAGTATTCAAGAATTACAGCACTCGTTGGAGGCACGAACTGCGCATGAGTGATCGCAAATCGTATCAGGAGTTGGTTCTTCAAGCAAGAACTTCATCGTGTTAGATATTTTGTGTTTTGTTATCTTTTAAATTGTTGTTAATAAAAGGGTCAGTTACGACCAAGTATTTAGGAATGAAGCTATTTTTCAGCTCATTAGTTTTACAGTTACTTCAACCCACGTCTCCTACGTGAAATCAGTGGGTTAGTTTCTATTTTGTTTCGGTTCCTTCCTATAAATTTGTATTCTCTTCCAGAATTCAGTGAAAACATAGAAAATAGAGAGAAAGAGCATTTTTCAGTTTTATTATCTGTCTTTTGTTCACATTTGGTATCAGAGCTTCTTCACAGGGGCTTGAACCAAAACATTGGGTTATATATTGGGTAAATACGAGTGAGAGCAAACACAAGTTAGGTGCAAACCGTGAGTGTAAGCAGTTAAAAAAAAATTTTTTGAAACATGGCAGACTCCAACAAGTATGTGCAGCCAGCAATTCCCAAGTTTGATGGTCACTATGATCATTGGGCAAAACTGATGGAGAATTTTCTGAGGTCCAAGGAGTACTGGTCTTTGGTGGAACATGGCATTAAGGATGTCTCCAGCAAGTCAACAGAAGTTGAACTTAAAGCAGCGGAGGAGCAAAAATTGAAGGACTTGAAGATAAAGAATTTTCTCTATCAAGCAATTGATAGGGAAATTCTAGACACTATTCTCAATGATGAAACATCCAAGAACATCTGGGACTCAATGAAACAGAAATACCAAGGATCAACTCGGGTGAAACGAGCACAGTTGCAAGCTCTACGCAAAGATTTTGAGTTGTTGCAAATGAAGGATGGAGAATCTGTGAACTCATACTTTGCACGAACGCTGAAGATTGCTAAGAGCATGAAGGCATGCGGTGAAACCATGCAAGAAAGTGTTATTACCTCAAAAATTCTGAGGTCAATGACAGTGAAATTTAATTATGTTGTA